GCTCAAAATATGGCAGCAAATCTCCGGTTTGGTTGCACAGCTGAAGACTTGTATAACAGAAGAATGGCAAAAAACTTTCAAACTTTCAAAACTGTATCAGTTTGTGTCTTCAGTCCCCAGATGTTTGTTATGTGCTGTTAAAAGGAAAGTTGATGTAACACAATGGAAAACATTCTCCTGTCCCAAATTTTTGAAACATCTTGTAGGTATCAAATTTATAATGAAAGTAAAAATAAAAGTTCATTAAGTAAAACATGAGTTATTGTGTATTTGTTGTTTTCAATTTAATTAGAATAAGTTAAGAGACCCTTATTAGTCCCACAATGGGGAAATTTCACCTCCCCAATCTAACCCATCCGTGCAGTGAAACACCACATATACACCAGTGAAGACACACACTAGGGGACAGTGAGCACACTTGCCCGGAGCGGTGGGCAGCCCTATTCGCAGCACCCAGTGGTTAGGTGCTTTGCTCAAGGGCACCTCAGTCACAGACTGTCGGCTCAGAAGAGCGAACCGGTGACTTTCCGGTTGCAAGGCTGGTTCCCTAACTTCCAGCCCATGACTGCCCAGCAGTCAAACAGAATTTACTGCTTTCTGTTTTTATTAGCATTTCACATACTGTCCTGTTTTTTGTTTTTGGAGATTTAGGCAGTCAGCTGGCACAGGTAGTGCATGAGGGTCAGTTCATGTAAATAGAAAGGCACAGATAATATGTAGCTGAAATTTTGGTTTCAAATCCATTAGGTTTCCGCCCCATGAACGCTGGGATAGGTTCCAGCACCCTCCGTGACCCAGAAGGATGAGCGGTTAAGAAGATGGATGGATGTAAATCCATCATGTGTTTCTTATGTTATTCGCCTGAAAACATATAATGCAAGTAACAGACTTCTTATTAACCCCTTAAATGGCCAGAGCCCACCAGCAGGCCTAAAGTTTTAGCACACTTTTCTGTAACCTAAGAATAGCTCAGACAGTTTGCACTGAAGTGCCTGTAGTTGCTGAATAATAAGCCTTAGTATGTAATAAGCCTGGGATTTTAAGGGGTTAAGTCAGTAACTATAATATGGTTACAAGACTGTAAACTGTAAAGTATTACTCTAATTTGATACAGAAAAAGTAATTACTTCAGTGTTACTTTGTACCACATCACTCCTGACACTGGTGGTTAAAACTAGTACTTGTCCCATCCCTACACCAGAATTAATCTGTAATGTTGATATTTTGTTGCTATATTAAATTTATTTTGCTGTTTTACTTACTTTACTCTATGCATTTAATTCCTTTATATGTTGTTCAGGAAGAAAGAGGAAGAAGAAAAAGAAGCCTCCTATATTGTCCGTTGCACCGTCCACTTTCCCGAAAGATCCACTCATCTGTGCAGAGTGCAACACTGACTTCTCTTGTTCGTGGAAGCAGGACATGAATGGTTCCTTTTTATGTCAGTCCTGTTTTAAGTGCAATTGGAAGAAGGAGCACTGGTCCACCCACAGACCAGAGGAGACCCCTGTCAAGTCATCCTCTGGGATCGTCACGCCACCCATTCCTGCATCATCCAGCCAGCCTGTGAGGAATGACCCACAGGTTAAGCAAGAAGGTGGCCTCCCCTTGGCCAGTCCATCTGTTTCAGTTTCAGCCAAAGCTCAGAAGAGTGATCAGATGGTTCCCAAAATGTCAGCTTGCGTCCTGTCTCCCTGTAACACATCTTTCTCTCTTTTGTCCTCACCCAATTTCTACTCTGACTCATCTTCCTATGTTCCCTCCTCTTCTTCCTCGGACCTTCTCTCCTCCCCGATTTATTATTCCTCGTCTTCCTGCGCCTCGTCCCTTTCTGATGGTTCTTGTTCTCCTTATCTCCCCTCTTCCTCAGATCTTTACTCCTCTTCTTCATCCTTGTCCCCCTCACCCCCTTATTTGTCAAAACGTTACTTGAACAAGAAGGCTGGAGCACCTTACTGGATGGATACTCTACTTGCCAAGAGTTTGCTTAAAGATGACAAGGTAAAACAAGAAGTGAAGGCAGAGACGAGTAAATACATCTGGAACAAGCCCCCATACAGCAAAGAGAAGACTGAGAAGACAGCAATCTCTGGGTCTCTGTCAGCTGCCTCCTCTTCATCAACTCTGGGATCAAATCGGCCCAACTTGCAAAAGTCCCAGGTACCCAACACAGGCTCAGGTATGCTCTCCAAAACGTCATCCACATCAGTGCTCAATGCTAACAAAGAGAAGCTTGAGTGTCAGAAGTTGGTGCCCAGCCTGAATAAGGTGGCGAAGGTGGAGCACACCAGCCAGGAGTTGAAGCTTGGCCAGGGCAAGTTGCAGAAGTCCTCCTGTAATTTGTCCCATGGTAATTTCTCCACAACTGCACCAGGATCCTCCTTCATCTCCTCTCATACTGCAAAGTCCAGTCAATACTTACCAAAGCTCTCAATCCACCATGTGCCCTTGACTCAGCCAACTCTTTGCAAAACCTGTGCAGGATTGTTTGAAGGAAGATGTCAGGCTCTCAGGTCAAAGTCGGGATGCTATGAATGTAAACCCGACTCCTTGATCTCGCCCAAAGACACGTCATCCACTCATCAAGGAAAGATGAGCCAGCAGATGCTTGTCCCGCAGAAGGTCAAGCCATGTCCAAAGGATTCCACCATCCACAATGCCATGTCTAAGGAGCACAAAATGGATAAGTGGATTCAGAGACAAACAATCTCCAATGTGTCTCACCCCTCCGCAGCTAATGTACCCCTCATTTCTGCATCTGGCCGCCCCAGAGTGACAGGTTCTGCACTCACAGAAAATAAAGGTGGACCATAGGATAGGATCTAGCTCACTCCCTAACAAGATCCCTCATAACCCCAAGTAAAAGAATCTCCTGGAGGAGGTTAATGCAATCCAAGGTCTCCTGATCCTTGTCTTATTCCTGCCCCCTTGAAAGACAGACTGCTTTTGGAGTGTTTGGTTCTTTAGCGTTGTCTCTCGTTAGATCTCTGCCTTTACTGATCCTTGAAGAACAGTCAGGTTCTTCGCAGTACGGACTTGAAATTCACACTTCATCCACTTTATTCTAGGGTCACCAGGATGGTTTGATCCAGGTTCCACAGGTACGGACTTTAAGGACAAGAGTTCCGCTTGGTGATCTCAGCCAGTTATCAGCTTTAGTACATTTTCTTTAGAACCTAATGGAATTTTTAGTTCTACTAGGGATGTTTAACTAAACTTTTGGAGTTTAAAACTGTCCCAGGTATTTACCACCATTTCGTATAATAACTTTCAGTATCTAGCTTTTTTGACTGTGAGTTGTGATTGGACGTTCTTTAAGGCAGTGGCGATAGGTTGCTTGTTTTGGAGCATGTTTCTCAAAATTATATTTTCCTTCATAAACTTCAACCTTAGATTAATTGTTCATATTTGGGCAGCTAAAAGTTTAAAACTTAAAAAGAGTTATTATTAAAGTTTTAAACTTAAAAAGAGTTATTATTAAAGTTTAAAACTTAAAAAGAGTTATTATTAAAGTTTAAAACTTAAAAAGAGTTATTATTTATTTACAGAATGTGTGTATCAGTTGGTTGAGCTGAAAGACATGCTTTTGTTTGAATATTTAGAACACTATGTTACGCTTCTCTACACATTCTTTACACATTTCAGTCGATTATGTTAATCAAGTGTAAAAGCAGTGCAGAAGTGTATGGAACACATCCATTGAGATAAACCTGTATCTGTTGTGGTGCAGATATAAGGCACAAGTCTACTGCTGCTGATTAGCTTCTCCATCTGTTACATATTGTGTTCAATAAAGTGCATTTCTTGTTCTATAAAAAGCATTTGAATTGCTCCAATGCTATAAACGTGTGTGTGTATGTGTGTGTGTGTGTGCGTGTGTATAATCAGCACTTGCCATATTTCATACACAAAAGAATAAATAGCATAAAATCTTTTCCTCCTTTATTAAGATAGTAAGAATTATTATTATTATTATTATTAAGAAGAATTATTAGGATAGTACAAGGTCATTATAATCAAGAATACACAAGAGTACCACATGTACAAATGACAAAAAAACTATAGGCTAATTATAGAAAACGACAAAAGAGTCACGTGTTAAATGAAGAACCATTCGTTAAAAAGGATGCTGTGCTGATACATTAAGCCTGTTTGGTAAATGCCAAAAGAAGCTGACATTTCATTAAGAATGAAGATTGGATTGTGCAAAATCCCAACATCCCTTTTAAAAAAACAAAAAACAGTAGTGGGGTTTTAAAGGCCTCATCATGGAAAACCAAATATTGTTTTTTGTTGTTGTTGTTTTTTTTTACATATAATATGTATAACATAACATTAAACATTGTTAGCGTTTCAAAACGTACAGTTCATATGCATTTACATAGCCTTCAGCTGTTTAGCCCCACCCCCTCACACGTTGAAAGGAATGTTTCAGCTCTGACCGCTTTTAGAACCACACACGCATATATATATACACACACATATATATATATATATATATATATATATATACACACATATATATGTACACTGATCAGGCATAACATTATGACCGCCTCCTTGTTTCTACGCTCATTGTCCATTTTATCAGCTCTTACTATTTAGGTGCACTTTGTAGTTCTACAGTTACAGACTGTAGTCCATCTGTTTCTCTGCATACTTTGTTAGCCCCCTTTTACCCTGTTCTTCAGTGGTCAGGACCCCCATGGACCCCCACAGAGCAGGTACTATTTGGGTGGTGGATCATTCTCAGCACTGCAGTAACACTGACGTGGTGGTGGTGTGTTAGATATATATATATATATATATATATATATATATATATATATATATATATATATATTAAACAGTGTATATGCAGTTAGGGCACCACTGGGGTCTCCAGCTCTGAATGACTCTGTCTATATCTTAACCATTTAATTATGCATTTAATTATGTTCTAGAAGAACACATGTCTAGAACTTCAATGTGGGCGGAGTCGATCTTGCCGGAAGTCGTATGTCTGACGTCCCGGACGTGACGCCTGGAAGTTGACTGTCAACATGAAAGATGGCGACCCATCACAGGCAGAACGCTGCTGGACGGAGAAAAGTCCAGGTATCACTGCTTTGCTCTTCCTCCTCGGCTGTTTACCTGAGTTAAGCAACGCGGGCGGGACGCTGACGGTTGTATGCGCGCTGAGCGGAGGGACCGGCGCGGCCCCGAGCCTGAGCTGAAGCCAGTGCCCGCAGACGAGGCTGGAGTCGGCTTCCTATTCGCCAGGTTCTGGGTTGAATTCTTCCGTTCCACCTTAAATGGTGCAGCAGTTACATTCTGGCACCTCGGGCGTTATAATAACAACTGCTGCACCGTTTAAGGTGGAACAGGGGAACTCGAAAAGGAAGCTGGCGAATAGGAAGCTGACCGGGTTGGCTGCCCACAGCCCGGTCACCGCTGCAGCGTGTTATATAAAACAGGGCAGATCCATAAAACCTAAAAGCTTAAAAACGGAGGCGTTTCTACTGAAAACCTGCGCTTCGGGCTTTTTATTCAGTCACTCAAATAGCCTCATTCGCCAACGTCCTCTGTTTTTTCTGTGTCACACATGTAGAGGTTAGTGATAGCAACACCCCAACCGCGGTTTTATTGATTATACGCTTTATTCATCCGATAAAATCCTCCGAAATGTCAACGCTGCGATACCGTGATCGGATTTGTCCCTCGAAATATGATTCGAGCTGCAAACGCTGCTTCACGCTTTCCAGTTTGGCCTCTGTGGAGACCCGTAACACCGTTGCCTTGGCAACCCCGTCAGCTTTTGAATGGCGGCGAGGTTCACCAGCTTAAGGGAAATTAAGTGAAACCATTTAACACTGGAGTGAAACTCTTCTAGAGCTCTGCTCACAAATACATTATTCATTTCTACAAACGTTATGTTTAAATTGAAGTTGAGACAGCGCTATCTACACTTTTTCATTTCAAGTTACTCCGTGTTCTCTGAATTTGACTTGCCTCTCAAAATAACTGAACTCTCTGTAAACATTGAGTTGATATCTCCACGTAGTGACTTTCTTAAAATGTGGTAACTCGTTATTTCAACAGAGCTAATATAAAAAATGTGAGAAAACCCCATTACTAAGTCAAAAATTTGAGAAAATACGTCATTTTGAGAAGCCGCGCTACAATTTTGAGAAATACGTCATTTTTCCGAGACAATACGTAAATATCTTGAAAAAATACGCCATTATTTCAAGGTAATAGGTGAACATTTTGAGAAAATAAATCAATATTTCGAGATACTGAGTCAAATTTTAGAGAACGTAGCTAAGTCAATATTTTGAGAAAAAGGGTTATTATTCCAAGAAAATAAGTCATCATTTTGAGATACTACATCGGTATTCTGAGAAGATAGGTCATTATTTTTGAGATACTAGGTCAAAATTCAGAGAAAATACTTAATTATTTCAAGATACTGAGTCAATATTTCAGACATGTCGATTATATTAAGATAGTATCAAGATACTGAGGCACATTTTAGAGAACATAAGTCAATATTTTGAGAGATTACGTCATTATTTAAAGATAGTAAGTAATTATTTTGATATATTAAGTCAATATTTCAAGAAAATAAGTCATTTTTTGAAGATACTATGTCAATACTTAGAGAAAAGATGATCATAAGTCATCATAAGTAATAATAAGTGATGATAAGTTTTGAGAAAATAAATAATTTTGAGATACTAAGTCATTATTTGAGGAGTTCGTGATTTCAAAATACTGTGTCAATAATTTTGAGAGTATAATTCATATTTTTTTTCTCCTCTGTTTGGTGGGAATGGGCTTCCATATAGTTGTGCTTTTAATATATACTGGAAAAAAATTCTTCCCAAAACCCCCCGAAATACTTTAATTCCGTTCAGCATCATGGCGCATAAGGGTACGCTGTATGTTCAAAAGTATAAAGACCCCCCTTTTAAATGAGTGAATTTAGCTTTTTTACACAGCCTGTATAATCTCCATGGAAAAGCATTGCCAATAGAATGAGATGCTCTGAAGCAGCATTAAGGTTACTCTGCCAAATCAGTCATCCAGAGGGGTGTAAAACCCCCCGGCATTGTGCTGTGCAGCATTCCCTGGAGTGGTGGAGCTCCATCCAATACCTTTAGGATGAGTTGGAGTTCCAGAACTGATCATCCAACATCACTACCTGACCTCACTAATGCTCTTGTGACTGAATGCAGTCAAATCCTCACAGCAATGTTCCATCTAGTGTAAAGCCTTCCTAGGAGATTACAAGCTGTTACTGCAGCAAACACAGAACAAACTCCCTATTAAAAGCCTCGATTTCAGAAGAAACGCTGAAGAAACCTACAGCTTCTGGTTGTGTAGCATAGTTGCCAGCAGTTCTGACCTGCTACCACTGCAGAATGAGTTAAATACTATTTTGTATTTCTTTAGATTAGTTGGCAACATTGTTCTGTTAGTGTCAATTAACTGTTAATTCTATTGGAGAACAGTCCACAGCAGGGTCATTTACACCAATCAGGCGTAACATTATGACCGCCTCCTTGTTTCTACGCTCATTGTCCATTTTATCAGCTCCACTTACTATATAGGTGCACTTTGTAGTTCTACAGTTACAGACTGTAGTCCATCTGTTTCTCTGCATACTTTGTTAGCCCCCTTTTACTCTGTTCTTCAGTGGTCAGGACCCCCATGAACCCTCACAGAGCAGGTACTATTTGGGTGGTGGATCATTCTCAGCACTGCAGTAACACTGACATGGTGGTGGTGTGTTAGTGTGTGTTGCGCTGGTCTGAGTGGATCAGACACAGCAGTGCTGCTGGAGTTTTTAAACACCTCAGTGTCACTGCTGGACTGAGAATAGTCCACCAACCAAAACCATCCAGCCAACAGCATCCTGTGGGCAGCGTCCTGTGACCACTGATGAAGGACTAGAGGATGACCAACACAATCTGTGCAGCAGCAGATGAGCTACTGTCTCTGACTTTACATCTACAAGGTGGACTGACAAGGTAGGAGTGTCTAATAGAGTGGACAGTGAGTGGACACAGTGTTTAAAAACTCCAGCAGGACTGCTGTGTCTGATCCACTCATCCACTCATTGTTACTGCAGTGCTGAGAATGATCCACCACCCAAATAGTACCAGCTCTGAGGGTCCATGGGGGTCCTGACCACTGAAGAACAGGGTAAAAGGGGGCTAACAAAGTAGGCAGAGAAACAGATGGACTACAGTCTGTAATTGTAGAACTACAAAGTGCACCTATAGAGTAAGTGGAGCTGATAAAATGGACAATGAGCGCAGAAACAAGGAGGTGGTCATAACGTTATGCCTGATCGGTGTATTTTCCCAAGGAAACAGTAAGAAAAAAGCATGAACGTTGTTGTTTTGTGCGTTTGTACGTAGGTCTCCTATGTGATAAGAGATGAGGTGGAGAAGTACAATCGCAATGGGGTGAACGCTCTTCAGCTGGACCCAGCCTTGAACAGGCTCTTCACTGCTGGCAGGGATTCCATCATCCGGATATGGAGCATCAACCAGCACAAAGTACTAACATATTCATATAAACTCTAAACTTATTCAAAATAGTAATGGCAGTTTTTTCAGTTGATTTGGGGGCATTGGGTAGCAGGGGTCCTAGCAGTTTCAGTACATTCTCTGTTATTTCCAACACTGTGGTCACTTTCTTGTTACTGTTTAGGGGCCCAGCAGACAAAAGCTTGTCTAGAGAATTCAGGAAGCTCTACAGAGGGAGAGAGAGAGAGAGAGACATAGATTACACACAGATGTGTTCTCTATGTGGCGTTTTCCACTTTAAAACAAAATTGTTATAAACAGAACAATAATAGTTAACTGATTATTTATCTATGTTGCTCTTGGTGACCACAGTGGCCACCGACCACCATGATCCCTGCATTTTGTCCATATTTTGTCCGTCTTTATTGATAGCAAATATTTAGTTCTGATGCTCATTTGCTCTCCACCATTGCTGTTATAACTGATATTGATGCACCAGATAGAGCTTAATGGTATGCACTATTATTGTTGCCTATTGTGATATAGTAATTGTGAGGCCAGTACTGCGATAGGGGTGAACATGTACTATGTTGTGCAGGGTGTGTATGTAATAAATTAATATTCTCTGATTGAGAAGGTGAGTAACTGCTGTTTTATTGCAGCAGGATCCCTATATAGCTTCAATGGAACACCACACTGACTGGGTGAATGACATAGTGCTCTGTTGTAATGGGAAAACATGTAAGTCTCGTTTTTTTTTTTTTACATTACATCTCATCTGATGCTCGACGATTCACAATTCAGTCAGTTAATTTCTGTTTTTTTGCTAATTCAGCTGCTTTTCTGACCTGGCTTCTTTTCTTTTAGTGATATCAGCCTCATCAGACACTACAGTTAAAGTCTGGAACGCACACAAGGGGTTCTGTATGTCAACATTAAGAACACATAAGGTAATACATTTAAACTAGTCTTTTTCATCATCCAAGCCGTGTTTACATTTTGTTGGTTCACAGATAAATCAATATTTTCCCCACTTACACAAATCAGCCACGAGTTTACTTCTTTAATTTTGCACTGGAGCTCTATATGAGGTCTATATTACCCACATTTGTAATGCATTATGTGGAAAATATTCAAAAAATACAGGTGCTAGATATTTTAAAAAATCTGGGACTGGGTTTTTTCTTTGCGTCGTATATGATTTTCATTCATTTATTGAAAGAACGTTTACATAGGACTCTTAAGGCTACCACACACTGGACATAGCGTCAAAAAACCATTGTTTTTAATGAAGATGGACACGCGGCTGCCATCCGGAGTCCAGTCCAACATTTTATGATGTTGTAGTGTCATAACTTATTTCACCTTCTACCAGTAAATTTCTTAAAATGTAGATAGTTGATACCAAACTCAACACATTCATTAAATTATGTTGAAGGTTATTTAAGCAATCGAACATGAGAGGGAGTGTGTTAACGCGAAATAACATCACGGCTGTGATTTGGTCGCTGTAGATCGTCACAGTCGTGATGTTATTCGCGATAACACTCCTCGAGTGTTCTGTTGCTTTTATACAACAAATAAAGTAATAAATTAATAAACTGGGCCGTGAACGCGGCGTTTAATATGTTTTAATGTTCGCAGTTCCTTCTGCCAAATTATAGTTCCTTAACGAGCAGCTTGTTGCTACGTCAGAATAACAAGCTCTGCCTACTCGCTGCACAGCCGGCAGTTCGTTCTCCAGCTCCACACAGACCAACTGACAGTTTGAGAATTTAGTGTGGTCTAATCTTCAGAGTCTGACCAAATCGGCTGTCGGTCAAATGTGATCTTAAAAGTGTCCATTTTCTGTTTGTGGCAAAGTAAGAAGTGAAAACGTTCAAATGTCTTGAGCGTTTCCTACAGCTGTCAAAGTCGTTGCTTAGCAACGGCATCTCAGCGGAGTGATACAGTGTTAATGAAAAACCCGTGATGTTATGGCGAAATAACAGCACGGCTAGAACGCTTCTCAACCAATCAGCTTGTGTGGCCGGACCTGACTGTTGTATAAATTCTATTAAAGCCCCCGTCTGCTCATTTTCATGATTTTCTTGTAATTATTATCCATAATTTTGTGGTGTCATTACTATGAACTGGCAGAGAAAGAGTGATGTTAGTCTTTTCTGTTGAGATTTTTGAAATTCTGTCATTTTCTTCTATTTGAATTGGGTGGAAGTAAATTTGATGCTGGTCTCATCAGATCTGCTAAAGTACCAATCAGAGTTAACAGTATATTTACATCAGCTACTCCAGTTTTCCTCTCCCTCATATAAACTGACTGATCTCCCGCTGCTATGAGTCTCAGACAAAACTCCCAGGTAAAAATAAATAACCTATTCCCATGAATAGGTTATTTAAGCTTTTCCAAAGTTGTTAACAGTGCTTGTTATGAAGGTTTATTACACCGTTGTTTGTAGCTTAGCTAAACACTGCTTCCTATTTGCGTTAGCTGCCTGTTACAGGGTCCTGCTTCATTTACGAGAGCATAATAGCTAGCAGGCCACCTTAACTGTAGGAACAAAATGATACACTAGCTTAGTATTACAATAGCTACCCCAGTAATATTAAGCCTCACAGTGTTTCCCTGCAATTGTACTTTACTCATAATGGGAGCTTGTGTGACCTCTGACTCAGAAGCATTGTTATATGATATATGATATATTTATGTATATATATAATGTTAGTGCTGATTGTTCGGATATTGGGCACGATACATCTGTGATCTTCCTGCTATTAGATGAAAGCCTGAGTTCTCCAACTGGTAAAATGGTAAAGTGTAATTTGATCTCTAAAATGACCATCAGACAGCTTCTTCTCCTTTTTTATTTAACATTTTGGGGAAAAAAGCACAAAAAGTGGCCTGTGCAAAAGTTACGGCACATTTTCTAATTAATTTTTTTCCAGTAAGTTAAACTCAGTTAAATCATTGGAAACCGGAGCAGGAAAATGCTATATTCTACAGTCTGTTCTCTGTAGAGGATGTGTACTAATTTTCACTAAGAACATCAACAAAAGGTATTCAAACTTTTGCATCAAATTTACTATTTGATTTTTTCAGACGTTCATTAGGCTGTTTCAACATTTGAACATTCTGATTCATCCCTACCTTATACTTACATTACTTAGCTTTGCACCAGTGCAAAACTAAGGAAGCGAACTTCAGACACCAAACGTGTCTCGTCTGTGCAGCTATGTTTGGGTTGTGTCCTTTAAATCTTTAATGTGTTATTTATCAGGTTTCATTTATTACTTGTGTTGCTTGTGTTTTGTGCCTCAGGACTACGTCAAAGCTTTGGCATATGCAAAAGATAAGGAGCTGGTGGCGTCGGCAGGTCTGGACCGACAGATATTCCTGTGGGATGTAAATACTTTAACAGCACTGACCGCCTCCAACAACACAGTCACCAGTGAGTGAGCTTCCTCTAGATGGCTGGAATCATTTTAATCACTTTTACGTTGACATTAAGACAGATGTAAAAAAAAAGCATGACTTTCTTTAGAGTGTTGTATCAGAGATACTGCTTTGGCTGTGTTGATCTCTGAGGGGCGACCCTTCATATATGAGCGCTAATGTAACCAGAGTCTAAGCACAATCTTTACCATTTCTTGTCTAGTGGTGATGATGCATAGTCAGTCGAGAGGACTTTATATGATCTTTACTTTTATGGTTGTACTATTTGATTTAGCCAGCTTTTTAACTGCAATGTTAACTTCTCGGCTAACTGCAGCTGCACGCAAGTCACCCCACTATCGCAGACCACACCTATAATTTCGGAAACTAAAATATGGCGTCCCTGCTGTGATACTGTTGTCATTCTTGACTGTATATTTCTTACTGTTTTAAATCTGCACTACGTGAGATTTTTTGTTAAAATTGAAAGAAGTAGTGATTTTGAGGTTAGGAGGGGGAAAATATGATAAAATATGGTGTGTGAATGCTGCTGCAAGTCACCCTGTAGAGCCTGAAATAACAATTTAAAAGTCAAAGGTGTCAGGTTGGGAGATTTTCAGACCACAACACACGTCTTTACGTATTAATGTCGCACACACAGCTCAAAAAGAAGGTCCGGCTCAATGATTAGGTCTCAAATACAAAAATATAATGACAATAGTAGATAGTTTACTTACATTCTCTGAAGACACGTCCATCGCCAAGGTCTGAGTTCTCTTTGAAGACTTTCATTTCACTTCAACATGCTCGCAATCATCAGGTTCATCCTCTCTGGGAAGGGGTCTAAAGCGCAGCAGTTGTGTGCAATTACACGTTTCCACCAGAGAGGTCTCCAAATCCCCAAAGCTTTAATTAATCTCGTGTTTGAACAAAATAGATAATTTGAAGTTTAAAAAGTAACATATTCATTTTTGACTGCTTGTACAATGTAAAACTGAAGAAAACTTGAGAACATGAGCCGAGTAATAGCCTGGTCTCCAGAATGCAGTGCTGATTAATCCGTTCATTTTTGTGACAGCTTCCTCACTGAGTGGGAATAAAGACTCTATTTACAGTCTGGCCATGAATCAGCTGGGAACAGTCATCGTCTCAGGCTCCACGGAGAAGGTTGGACTGATGCCTTTTTGATTTTTTTTTTGCCTTGTAAGATTTTTACCAGACGCAGATTAAGGCTAGTCTTAAAGGAATGCGTAATAGGGATGGGCAGTATGACAGTGTTTTAGCGTTATTGTGATAAAAGTATGTCACAATACGCTTTTTTGGGCATATAGTGGGTATCATCAGTACAACAAGAACACTGACTAACTACAAGTTTCATTACAAAGTGAGGATAATTAACCCTGCTTTATTGGATTTAGTGCAGTATAGTTTGTAAAATAACATAAAAAAATAACAATGTAGTTGCAGAATTATTTTTATTTTTATAGTATTTTAAAATGTGGCACTATAGGTTCTATTTTTTTTTTTTTTTTAACTTATTACATCTCTAAATATTGTGATGCATATCGTGTATAGTAAAAATGTTTTGAAGTATTGTGATATAATATTTTTGCCATATCGCCCACCCCTAATGCATAGTGTCCAAGAATGCTAGTTAAGTAGCCCTGCATTTAAAAAGCATTTATAAAGAGGAGGGGGGGGGGCAGTGTTGCCTGCAAAGGGCTTGTGTGGTTTGCAGGTTTTTACTCCAAACAAGCAGGAGCCACTCATGATTCTACTTGTTTAGTAAGCTGATCTCAGGCTTCAGACAATCAGTTAAAACATGCTTAGAACTAATAAGGGAAAAGGTTCCTGAAAAAAAGTTCTTTTATAAGTACATTTCGCTAGGAAAGTGATGCACCTGCATAAGATCATTGTTCATGATCGTCGTACTTTTCTCTTCATTTATTAGGTCTTGAGGGTTTGGGATCCACGGACGTGTGCTAAACTAATGAAGCTGAAAGGCCACACAGACAATGTGAAGTCATTATTATTAAACAGAGATGGCACTCAGGTATGTGCATGCAAACTTCTAACCACTGCTGCTGATACTGATCCAAAGTCTTACTGTTGATGCAAAGGTGACCTGCGTCTGTCTGTAGAGTCAGATTAGACAGTATGTCTACACAGCCTCTCTTACTGTTAGTCTGCCTGAAGTTCAAGAGAATTTATTTTCGGGGTTAGTTTGCCTGACTTATTTTGCGTAATGCCAAATGACCCCTGCTAGTATTGATTATAGCAACACTAACATTTTACATTTTACAGTTTACAGTTTAAGGGCTTAAGGATTCCATTAACTGTTACTTATTTTCATTTTGTCTATTTAGTGTCTGTCCGGTAGTTCAGACGGTACGATACGGCTGTGGTCTCTGGGTCAGCAGCGCTGTATCGCCACCTACCGGGTCCACGACGAGGGCGTGTGGGCTTTGCAGGCCAACGAGGCTTTCACACACATCTACTCCGGAGGCAGGGATCGCAAAATCTACTGCACAGACCTGCGCAACCCTGATATTCGAGTGCTGATATGCGAGGAGAAAGCCCCTGTTCTCAGAGTGAGTGAGAGGAAAAATCTCATTTACACACTGTCCTCCTTGTCCCATATATAGTCATTCAGCCAATAATGGTGGCTTATTTAGTTCTGCACTGGAGCTGTGATGAGCTGCATGGACAAAAGTACAGACATAATTCAGGATTCAGTATGATTACCATTACTCTTTTTAGCTGTGCAGCATACTGTTCTCTGTACAACACAGACTGGCAGAACAAGGACGAAGGGGCTTTAAATGCAACGAGTCCAGGCTGTGGTCTTCTCTGTAGTTCTTTATAGGTGTAAAAACTGGACAAAAACAAGCAAGACAGGAGAACTATTGATGCTTTTGAGCATTGGAAGTGGAGAGGTTTTCATTATGTTTGGAAGAGTTGAAGGTAAAAGAGGAAGAGGATGACCAGCTACAAGATGGATAGATACAGTCAGAGAAATCATAAACATGCCATTAAGAAACCTAAAGACCAGGGCTGGGCATATATTGTTATCATGATAAATTATAACACATCATAATATGTCACACTATTCCCAACAGCATGTTTGATCACAAAGAGATCTCCATGTATCTCCAAAATGGTACTTTCCAGTTGAAGGAAAAAACGCTGACTCCTCATAATGGAAGTGTTTTTTTTTTTCTCAAGTAATTTTGGAGCTTTTCTATTGGTCCATTTATTATGAAATATTAACACAATGCAAAGGCTTGCTGGGCTTTGCAAATTATGCAAGAAAACAAAAAAATGGCTAAAGTGGAGATACAATGTTTTTGCATGGAAGTTTAATTGGATTCAAAGCAGCTCAGTATGTGAAACATTAAACAAAAATCATTGTATGCATAGCTGTTGATAGTAATTTTTTAACGTGGCACAACTTTGTTCTTTCCAAGTATATTGTGTATCATGAAAACCTCTTGAAGTATCGTGATGTTACATTTTTGCCATATCGCCCACCCAAACAACAGACAGGGTGGTTTCCTCTCCAGGGGGCTATTCCACAAAGCAGGATTTCTCAGTTTAGCTAGATAACTTAAGCCCGAAGTTAAGCCTGTCCAATAGGAAAAGAGCTGAGAGACATTACCATTGGACAGATATCTGGCTAACTGAGAAATCCTGCTTTGTGGAATACCCCCAGGAGTTTATATATGTATATATACACACACATTTCATTCACTTTTTTATATATATATGTGTATATATATGTATATATACATATATATATATATAAGTGTGTGTGTGTGTATAAATGAACACGCACACATATATGTCGCTGCTGTTGGACCAAAACCTCTTATGTCCATTTTTGTCATTTTTCAGTTTTTGACATAATTTGAAAATACCCACTGTAACAGTAACGTGACACTATTACATTATTAAACAAAATCTGTTAACTCCTGACAGCGTATGACATCTGCTATGAAGTGTTTATGGCCTGGTTATGTCAGTGTTATATAGCAGACTTCACATAATATGTTACTGGTATATCAAACAGTGTCAGAAACCACATTAGCAAGTCTATTTGCGATTACTAAACAACTCAGCGCAGTTTGAGATGCTGTTTGCGCAATGCTAATTGGTGCTTATAAGCTCCCATTACTACATTAGCCTCGTAGCTCCAGTGCAAAACTACAGAATCAGACTTCAGACACCAGACTACTGGCTGATTGACTACATTTGAGGTAAATTAGATTTTTTTAATGAGTTGTCATTCTTGTAGTAGATACAGTGCTGAGATATGAGAGCAGACCGAGCACAGATCAATTACATTTTTTCTGTTTTGTCATATTCTTCCCTCTTTTCTCCTTGTTCAGATGGAGCTGGACAGGTCAGCAGACCCTCCTCCTGCCATTTGGGTGTCCACAACTAAATCCTGTGTAAACAAATGGGTACGCGAGACCGCTGCTTCTGAAACTAACTAAATGACCGTCATTTCTGTGTTCAGTCTAATTAAACCGTCACATTAATATTATGCCTGGCTCGGGCTTTCCTTTTTGTTGTCAGTCTTTAAAGGGAATGCATAACTTCAGAGCGTCCGGTGACTATGATAACGACTGCAGCGCCCCCCTGACTCCGCTGTGTACGCAGCCTGAGCAGGCCATTAAAGGTAAATCTCATCCTTCTTGTGAGTTGACACTGACCCTGCAAGTACCAGGTGCAACTTGCAAATATGTGCATAACAGTCACAACTTGAAATCCAGTTAAAACTTAAAGGTGTTTTACTGAGTTAGCCTGTATATTTAATTCCTGGAAAATCTGTAATAAAATGTCATAATTGCCTGAATAGTGATTTCACCATTCAGACACTGACACCTGGAAAGGTGAGCAGAGTACTTCCATTAGTTTTTAGCTACATTAGCCTCATAGCTCCAGTACAAGGCTAAAGAAGCAAACTTCACACACCAAAAATATCTTGGCTTATTTTCTACCTTTGGGGGAAGGAGAAAATTATGTACATTAGATTTTTTGCCAAAGCATTCCTTTAACATCCATCTTCTGATCAGTGTGTGTCTTCTGTATATGAATAGTTACAATATCAAAGAGGAGGAAAGTTCTCCGTAGAACAGCACAGGCACTTTTGCATGCTTTTATGCATCACGTCCCAGCTGTAGTTTCTCAAAAGCGCTGCTGAAGGGACAGTTTCACTCAGGATGCACAAATATCAGTGGCTGATTTATTGCCGAAAAGTTATCAGTTATCAGTTATTATTATCAGCCCAATACTGAAATTATGCCCCCTAATTAGAACCGATTACTTGTCGTTCTATTTGTAGGTCGTTAGGCAGGTGTAGTAGCGCATGTAGTCATGTGGAGGAGATTTCCCTTCTTCTAGACCCCGCAGTGCCCTCTGCTGGCTGCTCAGAGTTTCACTGGATCAGCTGCTGACAGCCATTATGTACTGACATGAAGAGAGGAATTACACTGACTTTCATCACTCGTCAACTCTTTTTGACTTTTATTTTATTTATTTATTTATTTTTAGAAAATGTTTAATATTTGTTGTTTGTATAGATATGTAGAGACGACATTTCAGTTCCTATATGAAGTGGCTCAGATATGCTGTGGGGAAACCAGTGACTGAGTTGTTGTGGTCAATTTAAATGACATCTTTGTTCTTTTTTGTATATGAGCTGTTATATGTGTTCTCATACTGTGAATGGCTTTGGATAAGAGTGTCTAAATAATGTAAAATATCCACATTCAGAAACATAAAGCCTTAAAATAATTTTGATTATTGGTTTATGATATCTGTATTGGTCACAATTAGGTGTTAATTATTGGGTATCTTGTCCAAGTCCATATCGGTGCTCACTGACCTCACAAATGTTTGTAAAGACTTCTAAAAGGAACTCATTTTAATTGAGATGAGTGTATTTGCTTATTCGATATCCTGGGTTTTTAATAGAGTTCCAAAGTCTTCCCACTCCTGTGTGTTAGAGTGTTTGTTTATTGCTGACTTCATAGTTTATTTAATGTACTGCTTGCAGGTGGCGCCAGCATAATTCAGTGTCACATTCTGAACGACAAAAGACACATCCTTACCAAAGACACCAACAACAACGTGGCATTCTGGGACGTGCTCAAGGTTAGCGCTAACGAAGGGTCGAGTCCGCTTTGAGGGATGCAGCGAAGGTGCTTGCCTTTGGCTAAGCTTTGACAGTCTGATTATTTGTTTTGCTTTGCTTTTTGTAGGCGTGTAAAGGTGAAGACCTTGGGAAAGTGGAATTTGACGAGGAGATAAAGAAGCGCTTCAAGATGGTCTACGTACCTAACTGGTTTTCTGTGGACCTTAAAACAGGGGTGAGTGTAGGAAGGAGAGTGGTGAGGTCATCCCCTTCTGTTTACAGTAGAAACATCTGTTAAGAATGAATTAGAGTTACTGCACATTACAGGGTTTTAGCGTAGCGTGTCGTGTCGCCCCATTAGACATAGTCAGAAGTAGTTTTTGAGCATTAAAACTACCTCCATAGTTCCTCTTTGAATTAAGTAGGATTTTCATAAAGCATAAAAATGACAAGTTTCCTCAGAGTTCCAGCTTTAAGTGAATTTTAAAGGGGAATTCCATTGACATTTCTACATTTTTAAATAAACCTGTCATTAAAATGTAAGCAGTCATTCAGAGTGGATTGATGTGAAATGCTTTGTTCTTGAGAAACTTTGTCAGAATTGTGAACTGTTCACAGTGGTGGTGATAGGAACCAGACATCTGAAGACCTCAATGCCCTCACATAATGTTATTAGATTAAATAGTCACAAATAGGTTTTAACTTTGTTTTTTGATTGTTTTGATAGAAGGTTGTGGTCAAAAATGTATTATTTATATAATTCATTCGTTGTGGAGAGGTACATGCAGGGCATCATGAGTCAAAATAGTCCCCAAAGAAAACATATTTTTTTAGATTTACCACTGTTTTATCACCATCACCATGGCCTATCCAGACTCAGGAGACATGTGTAGGTTCACTGCTCATTTTGCGTAGTAAATAAATATATTTGCTAATATGTTTGCTCTGTAAACCCCTTCACCATTGGCAAAATGAACGGTGATCCAAAATGTTCTGAACACAGTCAGCAGATGGCGTAGGTCTGCACTTTCCCTCAGCGTAGAATGAAGGTTTTTGTTGTTGTTGAGGGTTGAGAGGTCATGTGCTGAGTAATGGATTAACATGTTTATTTGTTGCTGCATAGATGCTGACCATTACCTTAGATGAGAGTGACTGCTTTGCTGCCTGGGTTTCTGCCAAAGATGCTGGTTTCACGAGCCCTGATGGCTCAGACCCAAAATGTAAGTCCTTTTCATTCTCATCACACAGCTAACTGTGTTGTTTTAAAGGGCCCATATCCTTACATTGAGTGGTGTAAAGCACAGCACCACTGGACTGGAGCAGTGGAAATGTATTACGTGGAGCGATGAATCACTGATGGACGAGTCTGGGTTTGGCTGATGCCAGGAGAACATTACCTGCCTGACTGCACTGTGCCAACTGTAAAGTTTGGTGGAGGAGGGATGATGATATGGGGTTGTTTTTTCAGGAGTTGGTCTAGAACCCTTAGTTTCAGTGGAGGGAAATCTTAATGCTTCAGCACCAAGACATTTTGGACAATTCTATGCTTCCAACTTTGTGGGAACAGTTTGGGGAAGAACCTTTTCTGTTCCAGCATGACTGAGCCCCAGTGCACAAAGCAGGGTCCATAAAGTCATGACTGGGTGAGTTTAATGTGGGCAAACTTGACTGGCCCTCACAGAGCCCTGACCTCAACCCCATCAAACACCTTTGGGATGAACTAGAACGGAGATTGTGAGCCAGGCTCTCTCGTCCAACATCAGTGTCTGACCTCACAAATGCTTTTCTGGATGAATGGGCAGAAATTCCCCCAGACACTCTCCAAAATCTTGTAGAAAGCTTCCTGGAAGAGTGGAAGCTGTTAGAGCTGCAAAGGGGAACCAACTCCATATTAATGCCTATGGATTTAGAATAGGATGTAATAAAAGCTCCTGTAGGTGTAATGTGTAGGTGTCCCAATACTTTTGTCCATATAGTGCACATCTTAAAGGCACAGTAACAAACTAAGCCTGTTTAATTCTAGAGGGTGAAGAGAGGTTAGAAAATGCTCATGTAAAAATGACTTATGACCATTTTTGGTACTTAAAACCACAAACTTTGTGGAGGAATAAATAAAATACAACAACACTGTGGGACAAGGGTCTGAGTAGCACCAACTTTTTTAATGGATTAAAATGAAAATTGAACATGAATGCTAAGATGTGTTTTTGTGTCCTCAGTAAATCTGGGTGGTCTGCTGCTGCAAGCTTTGCTTGAGTTCTGGCCTCGAACGCACATCAATCCTATGGAAGAAGAGGAGGGCGAGGTCAACCACGGTAAAGCTGCAAGACTATTATGTACTATGTAGCTGGTAGTTGTTTCAGTGCTAATGGTGGCGTGATTCTTTGCTTCTGCAGTAAATGGGGAGCAGGAAAGCAGGCTTCAGAAAGGAAACGGCTATTTCCAGGTGCCCCCACACACTCCGGTCATCTTCGGGGAGGCAGGCGGAAGGACGCTGTTCAGGTAAAACTCATCTGAGCTAATCTGGACTCTGAAACTGCTGTTTGGACTGGTTTAGTTTTACATGTGGAGGTGAGGAAATGTAATTGTGCTTCTCAGTGATTTTAGTCCCATCTGATTCCACCATATCTGTCATGTTTATGGGCTGCAAGCTGCTGTGACTGTAATACTGCTAAAATTAGTTTTTGTGTTTTTCTTAATTGTGGACGCTATGAAAGAAGCTTTTACCTTTTATTCTCTGTGGCCCAACTCAAAGTGATACATATTGTCTTATGTTAAATGTGCAACTCTGAACGTTAAAACGTGAAAAGACAGACAAAGGGTTAATTTTGTGTGGTGATGTTGACTGTTGTGTGTGTTACTGTGTTAGTAAATCAATGTTTGGACATGTTTTTTACTTGTAAGCAGCCAAGCATATTACATAAATAACTGTGTAACGATGCAACTCAATCATAAACAAGCCAGACATCCTATGGTACAATTGTTACCTCACCTTTCTGTGTAAAGCTGCCGTTTCAGCCCAGTTTTGAGGTTTTATCTGATGACCAGGATTTACACTGTAATACTGCTACTACTACTACTACTACTACTACTAATAATAATAATTATAATAACTAATAAAAAGTTTAAAAATACAGTTGGAGATACTGGGAATAACAAAACATTAACTGCATAATAGGGCTGGACTGATAAGAAAATATTGTGTCCAGTATCTTTTTTAGGGAGTTAAAAATTTTGATAACCGATAATATTGGCAATATAATTAATATTTTTAATTTTAATTTTATACTCTTACACATGCAGTGTTTTTAGCTAAACAATGCTTTACTGAATTAAACGACTATCAGTATCAAACTTCTGAAACTCAATCAAACAACCAAAACTAAAATCTAAATGTAGAAAAAATATATAAAATAATACATAAAATTCATTTGTATTCATATATTGAGTCATGGGGAGATTGAGAGTTTGAATCCCGGCAGCAACCTAAAAAAAGCCGGTAGTTACTGGCGTGTTAACTGTGATTGGCTGATCTATCAGTCAGGCCCTGCTATATAAGAGGGGGGATAAACAGGTGACTGGTGATTCGCTGCAGCCTGTGTTTGTATGATCTTATATATGTGTGTGTTTGTAAAGACATGAATGAGTTTATTCACCACATCTAAATGTCTTTGTGGCATTTGAACTAATCCTGTTTAGTGTCGGTTAAATTTATCACCATTTATCTCCATTTTTCTACTCTTAGTACCTGCATTGATATTCATTTTTGCCCATTTTCGTCCTCATGAAGGTTGTTATGTCGGGACTCGGGAGGAGAGACGGAGTCGATGTTGCTGAATGAAACTGTCCCACAGTGGGTTATAGACATCACTGTAGATGTAAGATGATTTGCCTTTTATTCAAGATTGTTCTGTTACTTTTATTTTTCCTTTTTTTAACAGATGTGACAGTTAAACTGACTGTTTCTGCTTTTCTTTACAGAAAAACATGCCCAAATTCAACAAGATTCCCTTCTATCTGCAGCCTCATTCATCCTCCGGTGCGAAAACACTCAAGAAGTAAGACACACTTCTATACTTAGTTTTTTAAACAAATTAGCATGTTTTTATCAAAGTATTAGAGGAATTTTACTGTTTTTAAAAACAGTTCTGCATAATTAAATTGTTGAGATGTATACAGAGTCATTCAAAGTGGTTTGATATGAAATAGTTCACTGTAGAGAAAATCACAGACTCAGATTTCTTTACAGTGGTGGTGATAGGAACCAGGCGTCATCATGACTACAACACAAATATATAAGTCCCTCTACAGAGTCAGAGTTGTTTACTGTGGAGCTTTACAGTAACTGCAGTTCTGCATCTTTAGGGACCGCCTGTCCGCCAGCGACATGCTGCAGGTGAGGAAGGTGATGGAGCATGTCTATGAGAAGATCATCAACCTAGACACGGAGTCACAGACCACCAACTCCTCCACCACCGAGAAGCCCGGAGAACAGGAGAAGGAGGAGGACGTGGCCATGCTGGCCGAGGAGAAGATCGAGCTCATGTGCCAGGATCAGGTCAGGCCTGAGCTGCGCTGCGTTACTGACCGTGTTCATTCCGTTTCTCCTCCTGTGGTAGGACAGAGCTGCACATAGACCATCATTCAAGTCTGATTCTGACTTTGTCCTTATGTTGATGAGCATTTACTCATTGTGAACTTAAGCCTGTGACTCATTTCAAACTTAAGATGAAACTACTGCTCACAGTCATGTTATTTAGAAGCCAAAAGTATGGAAGATTCTGTTCATCAGGCCTTCGGGAGAATCTAAATGGGGGAATCTTTTTGGCTCTTATTAGAAAATCAGCAGCAGATAAACTCATTAACAGTTAGTTTCACCCCATTGTGTCTTTTTTTGTTTTTTTTTTTTTTGATATGTAGTGTATAAAACTCAGTTTCATTCAGTCTTTAGCCACGTTTACATGCAGCCTGATAATCCATTAATAATCCGACTAACAGCTCAATCGGAACAGAATATGTCCATGTATACATCTCATTCGGAATAGACTAGTCCAGTTGAGGCCATTCGGAATACAATCTCTATCTGATTGAACGAGGTGGGTAATCCTGTAAACAATCCGTTAAACAGAAGAATAATATCCGTACTAAACGCCTGTATCTGATTACATTCCCTATCGGAAAGTTTAAGTCCGTTCTGATCATGTTCGTCGCGTCATAGTGAAAGTTTATAGCGTTCAACATGGCGGAGCAGAAACTGGTCTGCAGAGGAGACGAAGTTTATGCTCTGATCTTTAAAAGACAGCGGTGGGACGGACGTCCAGCTTATGTGTCTCAGAACACGACGTCTTCCTCTCGGCCTTCTTTAATAAGGACATGTGAAGGACGTTTTCCTGAGTCTGACATCATTCTAAAGAAATTAAAAACACAAGCACTGCTCACTGCTGCTCATCTCACTCTGACTGGACTCACGTGATGCTCGTTGTCATGGTAACGTCTACACTAAGTGGTGCTCTACGCATGCACATAATTTTGGCTCTGATTACTTGTAGTGAGCATGTAAATAGAGATTCTCCATCAGATTGTTGAGTAGAGTGAGTATCTAAACACCTCAGCCTTACTCTATGATCGAAATGATTTCAATCAGATTGGCAAAAATCTTTGCATGTAAACACAGCCATTGATAGGTAACACAGTGATGGGCTGTGATAAACTGGCTAAAAATGGGTTATTTCTGAGAAAAAAAAGGAAAAATTTGGAGTGCACAATTTTTGCTGAATTGAATTTCAGTGGTCAGCTGAAAACAGAAACAAGACCAATGTTGTTCAAAGTGTTTGTTTCATAGGCTAAATAAGCAGATGTAGACATAAATTTGCACTGGCCACAAGGGCCACTAGGGCCACCAAGTTAATGAATATTGGGACCAAATTTTTTTTTGTTATTTTGTGGCCAAAATAGTGGAAACATGTTAAATGTTAATACGGCGTACTTACAATAAACACCCATGCTTCAGTAAACAGTCAACAGCTTTGAACAGCTTTGAAAGAGAAAATATTTATTAAAATCTTAAGAACCTTATAGTCGTTATAGGGTCTGTGGTGGCCCCCCCCGCCAAACTAGTCCACCCTGACGTCATCTGATCTAGGCTTTGTTATTATGTACTCTGTAGCCACTGCAGTGATAGCCTCTGTGTAACGGCAGCTTATTTAACACCTTTTTAACATCTTATTTCATAGATCAATATTAGCAAACTTCAGCCAGTAGAACAGCATCTAAATGGCAGGTGGACCAGCTCGGCAGGGCTACGTTAGCTACTGCAGTGGTTGCAGTTAACAAGCTGTAACACTGTCTTGTTTGTCTGGTTAGTTCTGTCTTGGAACCCTCAGGCCACAGGCTCTGCATTGTTAGTGGCCAGAATATCAGATGTTGTGGTCAGGGGCAACGGACAATGTCTACCCTTGTTAATAAGGTTTTTTTTTGTTTGCTTTGCACAAAATTGTCAATTTGCTGGCCATTGTGTGTCTGACCATTGTGAAACGTTGTCTGTCACTTTGTCCAGGTTTTGGATCCGAACATGGATCTGAGGACAGTGAAGCATTTCATCTGGAAAAGCGGCGGAGATCTGACGCTTCACTACAGACAGAAGTCCACGTGAGAGTGACGTGAGAATCACGTGAGCCTGCCATCTCCCTCCCAGTTCGCCTTACTCGTCTTCAGCCCATCTTTGCCCTGGTGTCCACAGGAGCGTCATGGAGAACGTTCTGCTCTCCGCCCAGAGCCATTCCTCACCTCACGTCGTGGGTCATAGGAAATGCAAACAGGACTGACCGTATCAGACTTGAATGCTTTAAGTTGACTTGAAGTTTAAGATGATTCGCTTTGTACAGAGTACTAATCCAGAATATTGTTTTGTAAAAACGTTTCTTGTTTCTCTTTTTTTGACCTCAAACTTTCCCCTCTTCCTCTTTTCAGGGTTTTGAGAGTTGTTGGCTTAACGGGTGATATGAAGGGCTCCGAGTGCACTGTCAGATTTTAGATTTTAATTTTTGTTTTAATACATTCCAGGGAGAAAAGCAGACGTGTCCCTGCGCTCCAGTATACTTTGACATGCTAACATCAGAACATCCCAAATGGGTCATATCAGTCATACAAAGCCATATTGGGTGTCCCTTTGGTGTTGCAGAATTAATCTACTGCTGTGAGCCCATGAATATGCTTTTAATTTGGCGGCTTAATTTGTAAATATCCCACTTTTATTTTGTAGGCTGCCTGACGTAAGTTGCTACCCAGTTTATGGAAGGTATTTTTCTATCATCTAAAATTGTACTGAAGGAAACGAGAAGAACTATCATGAAACATAAGGGGGAATTCCACAGATTAAGAAAGAATCTGCATAATTTAATCATTGAGGTGTAAGCAAAGTAATTCAGAGCGGTTTGATGTGAAATGCATTGTGGGAAGTTTACGGTGGTGGTGATGGGAAGCAAAGGTCACAAATGTCTGCAATGCAAAATAACCATTTTATTTGTAACCTAAAATGGAGAATGATCATACACATCTTCCGAATATTTCCTTTGGTGGCAATACATTGTAGTCCTTCTCATAACAATATTTCAGCAATGTCTCAGCATATTCATAACGACTTCATGCAATAATCTTCTGTGAGGGAGTTTTTTGAGGCATTCAACTCTTCAGACGTCTGGTTCCTATCACCCCCACTGTGAACAATTCTGACTCTTAAGTTTCTCTAGAACACAGCATTTCACATCAAACCACTCTGAATGACTCTGTTTACATCTTAACAATTTGTTTGTCCTGAAATTTTGAAAAGCTGATAAACTCTACAGTAGAATCAGGCGACCCTCCTGTTTGCATCATGCACAAATGTAAATAAAGTCATCATTTCTAAATGTATGGAAGCTAACAAGTAGCATCTGCACAGATATGCACAGCAGACTGATCTGAATGTTTGTTAATTCTTGGTTTGAGGATGTTTTGACCTTTTTAATCATTTGGTGGGTCTGCGCAGGTGACGGCGCGTCGGGATTTGCATTTCCGCCGTCTTTAGGTTTTGCCCGGTCCTGATTGAAGGAGGTGGCCTCAGCGGGAAGGAGCTTCTAAATAAAGAGAATGAAAAATCTGTTTTCACCCACAAGACTGACTGTAAATGACAAAAGCGTATAAATACTGTATATTTCATGTAGGAGGCAGAGGGATATTCTGTAAGTGGCCCAAATACAGGTTCATATTATTGGACGATATCTTTGAGTCCGTCAGTGATTTCAACCGACTCTGTATCGTCACTGTCGCACAAAAATCTTTTATCTCCATTTTTGTCATTTACTTATATTTTACCTAATTTGAAAACTCACGCTACCATTTGTATTGCGTTTAAATGTCATTATGAATGGACCGATAGAAGTGCTTCAAAAAAATCTCGTTCAGTTAACTTCCATCACCAGTTAATGTTTTTCCTTCTTTTGTAAAATTCCCATTTTGGAGATACGAGGTTTTGTTCTGACAAAGACGATATGGTTGCGCATGGTTAAGACAAACAGGTTAAAACGCAATGTGACACTGCTATTATAATTCATATGTAAATGACTGAACCAGACAGAATAGATGGCATTTATTTTATTGTATTATTCATGGAGAATTACAGATTTGACCACATGCAGACTGAAGAGGAATTCCACTCATTTTTTAAATATTTCTGTACAGTTCAGTGGTTGAGATGTAAACAAGGTCAGTCGGAGTGGTCTGCTGTGACATGCTATATATAAAATTATTGACTCAGATGTCTTAACAGTGGTAATGGTAGGAACCAGGGGTCTGTGATGACTACGGCACCAATGTAGCCATTTTATTGACAATCCAAAATCACCAGTGAACCAACACACGCCTTCTGAGTTTTTATATGTTGATGTTAATGTTTCTTCGGGGAGATGTGAAGAGATATAAAGTGTGTTTTCAGGCCAAAACCCTCACAAAACTATCGCAAAACAGTGTCACAGGCATGAAGCGGTATTTGTAACCATTTATATGATGAGCTTTTAGAGGCATTAAACTCTTCTGACATCTGGTTCCATTCACCACCACTGTGAACAGTTCTGACTCGGCAAGTTTCTCTTGAACGGAGCGTTTCAAACCAAACCACTCTGAATGAGTGAATGAAAAATTGGTGGAATTCTCCTTTAAAAATTGCAAAAAAGAAAAATAATTTCCGGTCACACTTTGTTCAGCTGGTCCCCTATAGATGCTCTAAATCATTAACGAACCTTCTTGTGATGGTCAGCTGATTATCAACAACATTAGGGTTAGGTGTAGGGTTAGGTGTAGATTTAGTAAACTCTTTCACACTGAACGTAAAGTTCACTTGCATTTAATGTATATTTAGTTGAATGTTACTTATAGACAGACTGGGCATTTATAAAGCATCTACAGTGGACCATCCAAATAAAGTGTTACCTAATTTCCCTCTTATTAGAAATATAGGCAAACATCGAAGGTGATGATGGTTCCCTTTTTACCTGCTGCCACTTTGCAAGTATAAAATGGCCTTTATTTAGGCTCATCAGAAATGTGGGGTCTTCCAGTTATACAAGCAGCCTTACTAGAGCAATCAATGACTAATAGGCAGGCATGTGGTTCTGTATTAATAAGGCACAAACAGAAGCTCTGTAACAGTAAATATGGAGCAGGTATGTAAAAGCAAGCGTCAGATTCATGGTTAGTTTACAATTCAATTTGCCAAAGAGCTAAAAGTTTGAGAAGAGAATCTGGACAAAAATTCATAAATGATTCAGCTCTTTCCATACATATAGAATGAATGATCACACGCCATCCTAACAGCATACTAGATACTGTGATAGGCTACGTTCACATTACAAGCCTCATTGCTAAAATCCGATTTTTTGCTCAGATCCGATCTCTCTGATATGATGGTTCACACTGGTTTAGGTAAGTGATTCAAATCTGTCATTAATGTGGACGAACCGGCGTCCTGAAATGACCCGCATGAGCTCATCCTACTCAGTAACGTCACGTGAATGAATCACGTGCATCATCAGCACAAACTAACGAGCAGAACGAGCTTCGCTGAGAAGATAATTAACTGATCAGCTCTCAGCTTCATTATTAGAGCGAGACGAAGGTGAAAAAGGTGAGATGAGCTGCTTTTCCACCGTTTACAGGCTTTAACTTCTGTTCAGCGCTGCTGCCATGGTAACGCTGAATGATGGCGCACGTGCAGTGGAAAAAAAGCACATGAATTTCCATCTGAGCGTCACATTAAGGTCACATGGCCACGAATCAGATACGTATCCGATCTAGGACCACATATGAAAGTGGTCAGGTTGGATTTGAAAAGATCAGATTTGCATGACCACACAGCTCTGAAAACATCAGATCTGAGTCACATTAGGGCAAAAAATCTGATTTGTGCCACTTTAACCTGCTAATGTGAACGCAGCCATACAGCACCAGTGTGATCTGGTACCAATTGATTGTTATGTTTGGATTATGATCAGGCCTTTTTTTAGGTTCTGACCGATTTTATGGACTAAAAAATTCAAACCTATAATGACTGATATATTTTTATATTTCTATTTAATAATTTCATACTGCAGTAGTTTTAGTGAAGCAGTGCTTATCAATTCACAAACATCACTTAAAACTAAATTAAACAGCACAAACTTTGGTCTCACATAATGTAAACACTGTAGCACTGGGGGCGGAGCTACCCATGACTATATTGTTAGAACGTGTTATCATGCTAAAGATCAGTTCTGGAAACATTTCACACGTTTTGTGTCCAGATTCACCAGTTCAGCCTGTATCTCACACTCACTTCCTCATTGGCACAACTGTCTGAAGTTTTAGGCTGGCTTTATATAGTGAAACTTGCCTGCCTCATTTTTGTTCTCGCTATAAAGTCACCTGTGTGGTGTAATTTACATATTTGCAGCACTTTTATCTTGTATATTTTGTCAGCTATCATTGGCCCTTTTCACATTTCTGCATTTTTTCTGTTGGATGTACTTGTTGCGGGGTAACGCTACTTCCAGTATAGCAACAACAATAACTGCTAAAACTAAGAGTGTGTACAGCTCACTGGAGTGTTCGAGATTGAAGGAAAAATAGCCTTATCTCAGTTTCAGTGGTTTGTCAGCTGATGAAGAGCAGAGGAAAAATGAGTCTGTGCAGTTAACAAAGGAATAAAATTTGTCATACGGAGGAAAAGAACCTCTGTGTCAGCATTTCAGCGCTGCTGACTAACGTTAACAGCGGTTCGTGGTTTAAAGTTGCTGCTGCAGCCGCTTTCAGAGGAACAGTTTTCATCTTCAGTCTTCCTCAAAAGCTGTCAGTATCTGAGAGAGCGAGTGCTCGGCCAGGAGTAGATGTTCGTTGAGTGGAGCCAGTGTTTGTGTAAAACGTCTACAGTAGTGTTATGGACCATGACGACCAGGCGTGGCCCCCTGCCAGCATGTGCGCGTGTTTAGCTTTTTGCTAACTAGATTATCATTAGCAAGCTGTTTTAACATCTCCAGCTAGGATTGGCTAATCTCGTGTTTTGGTTATGGTTATTTTTCACCCATCCATCGATTTATCACTCTGTAGACGTTCGCTGACGTTACTGTACCCTTATAGCTGTGAAGGAATTTTCTCCACGAAAGCATTTACATCCTTTATTCAGCTTGGACTCCCACACTGGCTGTGTCTACATGCAGAAATGTTTGCCAATCTGATTGAATACATTCCGTTTACAGATTTAAGACTGAGGTGTTTATTTGCTCACTCTGCTCAACAATCTGATGGAAAATCTCTGTTTACATGCTCACTACAAGTAATCAGATCCAAAATTATGCGCATGCGTAGAGAACCGCTTAGCGTAGACGTTACCATGACAATGAACATCACGTGAGTCCAGTCAGAGTGAGATGAGCAGCAGTGAGCAGTGCTTGTGTTTTTAATTACTTTTAAATGATGTCAGACTCAGGAAAACGTCCTTCACATGTCCTTATTAAAGAAGGCCGAGAGGAAGACGTCGTGTTCTGAGACACATAAGCTGGACGTCCGTCCCACCGCCGTCTTTTAAAGATCAGAGCATAAACTTCGTCTCCTCTGCAGACCAGTTTCTGCTCCGCCATGTTGAACGTTAGAAACTTTCACTATGACGCGACGAACATGATCAGAACGTACTTAAACTTTCTGATTGGGAATGTAATCAGATACAGGCGTTTAACATGGATATTATTAATCTATTTAAAGGATTATTTACAGGATTACCCACCTCGTTCGATTGGATAGAAATTATATTCTGAATAGCCTCAATCTGACTTTTCTCTTCCAACTGAGGTGAATTCATGGACGTATTCTGTTCCGATTGAGCTATTAGTCAGATTATTAATGGATTATTAGGCTGCATGTAAACATGGCTATTGCTGTATGTTTGGTTCTCCAACAAATTTGGACACATCCTCCAATTTCAGTCTTGGCAACTATGACAAAGATATAGTGAGACACCTTTCCATGGTGAGCTGAAGTGATACGTACCCCTGTATTTCTGAAGTTAATAACTGTCTGTAAGGACAGTTTTACCCAGCGTTGTGAAAAGGGCCTATTGCCGTTCTTTTTTCAGTCTCTTTTCAACTGCCCAATCAATAAGCCATCCTCTGTTTTATTTTTTTTACCAGATCAGTGGACAAAATCAATTGTTTTTAAGGTGTGTTATTCAACACGTTCACATACACGTTATCAATTGGCTATTTCATGACGCTTAACAAAGCTGAGATGCAACTGTTGCAGCTGAGTCTCAACTGGTTTCAGGATGGGTTACATTGCGCAACTCAAGTGCAGTTTAGTTTCATGTGGTTTTTTAAAGCAAGTAAGTTTCACTGTGTAAAGCCAGGCTTACCCTCCTGGTGGGAGAGTCCGAATTTCGGTGATGCTGCAACCAAAAAAGTTGCTAACAATCAGCAAAATTTTTGCTGATATCGATAAAACTGATATCGATGTGGGTTGTTGATATCGGACTATATTGTCTGCCAAACGATATATATTTTTCAAGCCCTAATTTCTTTAGTCATAGAACCCCACTTTAAACACTTGCAGTCTGGGAACTGCCTGTTCAGAACATCTGCCAGCCAGCACTGCTTTCATAGCAATTTTCTCTTCCCTTTATGATGGTGAAATTAGAGATATAATGCAATTCACACAGTTCACAATGCAAATGATTCTGTGCTACACAGGTGAGGATTGAACAGTTACTTTGAATTCAGAACTGTTCTGGTTATTCAAATAAAAACAAATTCAAGCATTCAGTTCACTCGCAGTACTTAGCTGTAACAGGGTGTATTATAGGAGTGGTGCAGTGAAAATGTAAACGATCCCCTCTTCCTACCCCAAAAGTAGTTCAGCCACGTTTGGTGTCTTCTTTAGTTTTGCAATGGAGCTATGAGGCTAACGTAGCTGACAAGTAATGGAAGCTTATGTACAGTAGGGGTGGACGACATGGAAAAAATACAATACCACGATATTTGAAGACATTTGTATGTTTCCATGGAGTTTGATATGTGGGAAAAAATGTTTATTTAATGTTTCACATATTGCACTGAACTAAATTCGATTAAAGTCTAATTATGCTATCTTTGTAATGAAACATGCAGTTAGCCAGTACTATTTTTATATTTCTACTGTAAACCATGCAAATTGTGTCATAATTTATCGTAATTTATCGTGATAATATTCGTATTACCCATCCATAATGTACACCACCAATTAGCCTTGTGCTAACTGCATGGCTAAATCATTCACCACAAACCCTGTCAAGTTGCTAAGTAATCTCAAATAGACTTGCTTATGGGGTTTCTTCCACTGTATGACATACTGTTATGTATAAAAATGTGCCTCGCATAACTAAAAACAGCATTAGCTTGAAGACTGAATTTCATCTCTACCTTTGTCTATTTTTATAAGTAACAGTTTCTGCTGACACCTAATGTCTCAGCTGACAAACTACGTTTGGGATAAGAGGAAAGTGTCAGATTTCTCACAGAAATAAAAAAAACTATATGATGATCCAAAATAAAATCCCAAATGAACTAAAAATGCCACTGCAAACCTGACAAAGATGTGTGTGTATAAACTCTCCTTGGCTGGTAATTTTGTGCGTCTTTGTCACCGAGCAGCTGGAGGTGGCCTGGTGTGGAGTGAATGTTTTAGGCCGCTGCGCTCTGACAGAACTGCTGGATGTTGTCCGCGAGCTGCAGGCAGTGGAGGATTCGGCTCCGCTCTGCCTGCAGCTCCTCGGTGGGCACCTCGCCCTGCAGCTTGCGGCCGAACAGCACCAGGTCCTGCATGAAGAGGCCCACGGGCTCCCTCTGACCGGCCGGCAGCTCCGTCAGGGTGCAGGAGTCGAAGCGCAGGTGGATGTGTTTGGCCCGGCCCATGCCTACACCCCGCTCCTCGATCCAGGTGAGAGGTCTGTGGTTGGAGGAGGATGTGTAAGAAAGTTACTCTTCCCTCCAGCCTGTTCAGAGCCATTTAATACTGGACATTTGGATGTATGGGATGAGAATTACTGTATTATTATAAATGAAACGGCATAAAGCACAAAATAACGTCAAAGTTTCATGAGTGCTCTGTGGAGCTTGCTGCAGTAGCTAGATTTTCATTAGTGCACTGTCAGCTCCAACTTACTTCTGATCCTTGGTTAAGAAGTGGGCAGTCAACTTCATATACTTTTTCTCCTCATCCTCAGCCAGCGTTGCCTCCTTAACAGTGAGTTTGCCAAAAAGGTCGACCAGCCAGGTTAGACGAGCGATGCCGCTAAAGGAGGGGAACCCAAAGTCAGGCTTCAGGGAGCCTCCTGAAGGAACATGGTAGAACAGAGACATTATGGCATTCTGATAACAGAGCACCACTGGTCCCAACACAAATTTTCAAAGAGCACATGCATAGAAAAAAACCTGTTGTTTAAAGATTTATGTTTTATTTTTGGTGTAGTTTGGTTGATAAACAGGTCATCTACATGAAATGCTTTTTTCGTCCCAAAAAATAATGTAATAAATACATGTCAAATTATTCAACAATCCCTCTTTTATGTGAAACAGTTGTCAGTATATCCATATAAAAATTCAATGTAGTTTCTTTTCGCCTCTAAAATGTCAGGTGGTGCAACCGTACAGCCATATGCTGATTAAGTAAACTATCAAAAAAGATAATTTAGATAAATTTTGGCATGAATTTATGTTTGACAACTTTAAAGTATAAACCATATTGCAAAATAAGGCAACTTTAAAAGTGCTCAATTCACTAAAAAAACATTGTTCGCAAGTTCTTACTTCCTCAAATATCAGGTGGCACCACCAAGAACAAAGGACTTTTATTTTGATATACTTTTACAAAAAGGGGCCAGGGTGTTGCATCATATAGAAGACCCTAAGTGAGCTTCATGATGCAATACCACGGTCAGCAGCCCTTTCACAAATTTTGGAAAAAATGTGATTGTTCAGTCATGGTTAGAACGGTTCAGTTGACCATGAAAACCATGAAAATGTGTATTTTTTTTATTAAAATGTTTGTTTATTTGTAAAAATGAATTACAAAGTCAAGTTCAAGGACAAAGGTTTCTACAGGTGTCGAGCAGATGCCTGTTTTATTTTAAATTAGTATGAAAAGTCAGGCGGCACAACCAACCCTAACCCATAGTCATAATCATTCATTTTTACACCACCATTTTCCAACCTCGCTTTATCCCTTAGATTAAAAGGGTATTTGTTACTGTGCCTTTAAGACTATTATATGTAAACTCTGCTTTGATTGTGTTGTTCCTCATTAAAAACAGGCTATAGGTGAAGAGGTAAATATATGTAATACATGTATTGAGTTGTGTGACATTACAGAAACCACAACCTCAGAGTTTCCATATATGGACTGTATGGATAGCAGAGTGAGCAGTAGATTTTCACATTTTAACAGTGTTTACAACAGTGTTTACATCTACATGCTGCATGTAAACTCTTTAACTGAAGACAAAAAGCAAGGATCTATGGGCACTTTAACTCTTTCAGGAATTGTAATAGAACTGTGAACCTGTGAAATGCAGGCTTCCCTCTTCCAGCTGTTTCCCAGCTATGTCTTTCTTCAGCTGCTTGTAGTCTGGAGTGAAGAGCTCGATATGTTCCTCGTGCAGAACTAAGCCTAAAAATGCACAATGGGATATAATGATAAAACTAGCTTTACTGATGGTGTGGCATATTTCACCACTGGTATATTCGACTCAGCCACTGGAATATTACTTAGCTACTGGCATATTTCACTGCGTGACCAGCATATTTCACTCATCCTTTGGTATATTACTTAGTTGCTGGCATATTTCACTCAGCCACCGGCATATTTTACTCAGCCACCGGCATATTTCATGCAGTGACCGGCATATTCCACTCAGCCACTGGTATATTACTTAGTTACTGGCATATTTCACTCAGTGACCGGCATATTACATGCAGTGACCGGCATATTCCTTTCAACCACTGGTATATTACTTAGTTACTGGCATATTCCACTCAGCCACCAGCATATTTCACTCAGTTACTGGTATATTCCACTCAGCCACTGGTATATTCCACTCAGCCACTGGTATATTACTTAGTTACTGGCATATTCCACTGAGCCACTGGCATAATTCACTCCTCCACTGGCATATCTTAACTTCATCTGAGCACTGTCCAATAGCAGTAGAGCTAAAGGACACTGCTACTGGACAATCCTCACTTTGGGTTTAAGTTACCCAGCTTATGGAGAAAGCCTGCTTTGTGGAATACGGCCTAGGACAGGGAACCGCTGTACTAGTTTAACACTGGGGTTAAACTTGTCTGGGTGGTAGATATCCAGAGGGCAAGGTCGGGCAATATTTCTCCTGAGAAGCGAGAACCAAAAAAAAGACAAAGCGCTCACTTCAGCACCAGCATGTCATAAACATTAACCTCCAAAAGCTAACTGTAGGGTCAGTTTCAGGTCAGCTCACCTTTCTGCTGGGCCAAATCCCACAGATCAGCTGCAGAGCTGTAGCTGAGGGCCATCGGGTACTCCACACACACATGCTTCCCCGCGTTCAGAAACTGCCTGAGTGGAAAAGAGGCAACAGTGTAATAATCATGAGTTAAATTAAGTAGCAGTTAAAGGCTCTCCGAGATGTTTTGAGTCGAACACTGTCTTTAAGAAAGGGCTGGCATTGTTAGTATGGTATGGTAGTCTGTATCAGGATAACGTGACTCAATACTATCATCACAGCATGAAAACACATGGTAAACACTTCAGTTGGGTAATACATTATCAACAGCTTTATTTCTTTAACCTCTTCATTATCCTGCATATGTTTCTGAATTTCTGCCTGATGTATTATTCGCTTGTATATCCTGTCCAATAACTAATTAAAAAAACCTTTATAGTGAATAATGGGCGTCTGGTGCTGCACACAAGTCCTAGTTTCCACTCACTTTTACATTTAATATGATTTAAAGTCTGATTTATTATCACGTATAGCATATAGCACATACACAGTGTACGTAGTTCACTGTTGAAAGAGCTGGTTCAGTTACAAACTGTTATGGCAAGCACAGCTCAAAGAGGAAGGGGCCACATGCAGGGAGAACACAATAGGCCCCTTGGCCACTTTCCTGCACTGCCCTCTCAAATGTCCTCAGGCTATAGATCTGTGGTGGGAGGTGCATCTGTGCATTTAGGGACTGTAGAATTGGATTTTTAAGTGTTTTTATTGGGCAGTGCTGACTTTGGGTTTAAGTTGTCTGGCTAACTGAGAAATCCTGCTGGTGTGGGTTTCCTCTTCCTCAATGATAAGCGCTTCAGTGCTAATTTGAGGAGAATCTGAATTATTGTGCACAAAATTAACTTTTCATTTTGAACTTTTTCATAGTTAGAAAAAAACACTGTCCCGCTTACTGGGATTTATACTTTTAAGAAGTTGTATTATGTAGTTTTTAAACTTGTAACTTTTCTAGCACCAGTGCTACGTGCTTAAAAAGCTTATGAATATGTTGCTGAAGTCTATAGGAGGTGATCGTAATTGTCAGGAGGAGCAAATCGTCCTCAAAATCGGCCCGATTATCCTGTAGTGTGGGCCAGGCTTAACTCTAATACATCTGATCCAGCCAGTCCATCATATCTGAAGAGGTTAGTTAGCTGGAGCAGGTGAAGCAGAGTATGGTTGGAACCAGAATCAGCAGAAAGGTAGATCTCCAGGACGAGGGTTGGTGACCATTGCCCCACAGAATACACTGATTGTAAAACTAAGGCCCAATCCCTTTTCTTATTTTTTACCCCGACCCCTTGTTTTCGAGTGTCACCTTTGTAGGGGAAGATTTTAACCACTACCCTTGTAACCTCCAAGTGGTAGTGGTTAAAGTCTTCCCTATGAAACGGAACCCTCAAATAAAAAAGAACATTACTTCATTAACAGCTACTAGTGCTGCTCTGTAGGTGACCCTGCCAGTCTGCAGTGATAGTGAAAGTTCAGCAACCTCGCTGCTGGGCTTTAGTCACATTTAGGGCATCGTATGCCTTCAAAGAGGGGGATACGACAATTATTTATTATCGCCCACCGCTAATTCTTCAGTGATATGAAGCTGAAGTCAGATATTCTCCAGCTTCTTATTCAAATTTTCCCGTTCCACCTTAAATGGTGCAACAGTCCTCAAGCCTGAGACACCAGAATGTAACTGCTGCACCATTTAAGGTGGAACGGGTAATTTAAATACCGAGACGTCAGCAAACTACTAGGGATTTTTTTTATGCTTGTTATGAAGAAAAGGACCATAATACACTGAAATGACATTAAACTAAGGTAATACAGTGGCTACTATAATTTTTAATAGAGAAAATTCTCACATTTGTGGGTTTCTTTGTTCGTTTGCACAGCCATCTTCCTGGTTTTTCTTTTTTTCTCATAACACTCTGTTTGGGGTGTGTCTCTGAGAAACCTCTGTTTGGAGGGCCATGTACCCCTAACACTTCGTCCTACTCCCCTATATCAACAGAAATCAGAACACCCTACCCCTAGGCGTGACCACACAAAACCGGGGGGTTAAGGGTTACGTTGTAGGGTGAAACAGGATTGGGCCTAAGTATCGCTCTGTACGTCTGCGGACCATCTGTTGTTTATTTACGGTTTTCTCTGTAGCATTAAAGCATATTCGGCTTTTCATCCATAGCTAACTGAGATGAGATTGGAACCTTTGCTTTTGTCAAGTTACAAAACATTCTCATTATCTCCTCAAATGTCTTTGCTATTTAACACAAAATATTGCCACTTAACAAAACAGACTGTCCCCTGATCTTCCTATAATTCACTCCTCATACTCTACAGGATGTATTACATATATAAAGTATTACAGTATTTTTACAGTAACTTTACACTTCTTTTTCCCCATATTGGTCCTTATTCATCAAAGCTGTGCAAAGAAAAACACAATTTGACCATCTTTAATAAGGTACAAATTATTCTGCATTTAATTCATGAAACTTTCGTATGTTGTGGATACAAGCAGAGATCTGAGCGCAAATGATGAAGCAGCTTCAGTGCGTGAAATCAAGCGCCAGGCGACCAGCGCCTCATTTACATATAATTTACATGAAGCTCACCCTAATTCATGCAGATGTTTAAGTAGGGAACCAATAAAACAACTGCCTTAAGGTGTTTGTGAGCCAGTGGCTGTGCTCATAGGTGGAGTGTTCAAATTATGACTAATGGAAAGAATAAAATGTGTAAAAAACAAAATGTTTTTTAAAATGGAAGAATGAAGTGATTGTGTAGTGTGATTATTCTCCAAAGTACCATATTTAAATGCTGTATTATAGCAGTGTATGAGATGTTTCTGCACTAGCTGTGTTTTGTATAGTGTATTTTTTGGCAGGAGTCAGTATTACAAAACAAAAGCATAGTGTAATATGTCTTTAAATAGAACATTACGTAGTTGTTTCTATTAATGTGCATGTAATATAAGTTCATTCACCTTTGTTCTGGATTGCCATCTGCACAAATTATTTGTGTTATTGTTATTGTAGGTGATATTGATAATAGTTTTGGTTAGTTAGCCACAAATCAGGCCTTTTTTTCAGGTTGTTAAATGTTTATCAAATTTACAGGCACTCTAACCAGAAGTGAGTTTGATCGTACAGATACACCAAAGATTAAACTGATGAATATCAAAAACTGTCTGAAATTTGAATGCGCTTGTTTTGTGCTCAGATCTGACTATACGCAACTGTCATGAAAAAGAGCCATTATTTTAAAAAATTATTGCATGCAACATGCATAGAACTAATTAGGAGCCACTGTCTTTTATCCGATTACACAACTGGGGCTAGAAAAAAAATCCACTACAACTCAGGCAAATCAAAATACACTGTAAATGTGAATTGTGGCTCTTACCTGATGTGCTCTTCATGGCTGGAGTTTTCTGTGCACACGAAGGCCACCTGAATGTCATTCCTGTTCAGAGCCTCGTCAACGGAGATCTGTTTGACTCCGTGCTGCTCCGGCAGCGTCCTCCTACACAAAAGATATCGATCAATAAAGCTCTGGTCTGACAGGTATGGTGAAGAACTCTATATCGGAACACTCCGTCAATAAGATATGGACAAAATACTTGAACTCTGCTACATATCACTGACATAACCATGCTATAAAGATGTCATGGCTGATGTCATACGCTGTCATGGCAAATTTTGTTCAATAATGTAAAACCATTTTGGTGATACATTTTGGTCAATTTGAAGTGCTCATCTTTCTGCTCTTTCGCTTTCTTTTCTTTCACGGTTAAGGTTAAGTCTGTTTAAGTCTGTATGAACACAGTAGCTGTTCTGTGGACAGCAATGATATGCAAAAAAATGTCTTGTGGAGACTTTTTTGCATATTTAAAATAATTATAATAATAAATAAATTAAAAATATAAGGAGCATATGCTGTTCTAAAACCTCTGTATACTGTTCAGCGTTGACAGTGTCTTTCCAAATGTGTAAGCTGCCCATGCCACACGCACTAATGCAACCCCATTCCATCAGAGATGCAGGCTTTTAAACTGTGTAACAACCTGGATGGTCCCTCTCCTCTTGAGTCCGCGGGACACGGCATCCGTTTCCAAAAAGAATTAAACATTTTGATTCATCTGAACAGTTTTCCATTTTGCCTCAGTCCATTTTAAATGAGCTTTGGCCCAGAGAAGACGGCAGCGTTTCTGAATCATGTTGCAATATGGCTTCTTCTTTTCATGATACAGCTTTAACTTGCATTTGTGGACGGCACGGCAAACTGTGTTCACAGACAATGATTTCTGGAAGTGTTCCTGAGCCCATGCAGTGATTTCCAGTACAGAATCATGCCTGTTTTCAATGCAGTGCTGCCTGAGGGCCCAAAATCACAAGCATCCAATATTGACCGTCTGCCTCGTCCCTTGTGTACAGGGATTTCTCCAGATTCTCTGAATCTTTTGATGATAATATGTATTGTAGTTGATGGGACATACAAGGTCTTCGCAATTTTATGATGAGGAACATTTTTCTGAAATTGTTCCACAATTTTTAGATGCGTTTTTTCACAGATTGGTGAATCTCTGCCCATCTTTGCTCTTTTTACACCCAGTCATGTGAGTCAGTTTTTTTAATGGGTTTTGACTTTGTCTATGCTATGGATTACTGGTTGTCCAGCAAAGGCATAAATGACAAATCACTTGGAATAACATTTTCAGCGATTATATGCAAAAAAAAAATCTTGTGGAGACTTTTTTTGTGAGTCAGTTTTTTTTTTTGTTTTTGTTTTTTTTTACATGGGTTTTGGACTTTCTACCTGATGCTATGGATTACTGGTCAGCCCGTTTGTCCAGCAGAGCACAAATAAACAGACAGGGCAGTAAATGTTTTCCTAACCCTCACCCTAACATACATATTTTCTGAACTGGGCTCATAAAATGCTTATCTTTCTGCTGTTTGGCTTTCTTTCATCACACAGTTTTGGGAGTCGACCTTGAAGAAGCAACAGAAACATTCCCTGCAGAAGATTAACAGCGGGCCAAAACGAGAAGAGCGAGCAACGAATGTGACTCCTATTAATATCCCTTTCTATTCTGAGTCTTTCTGTCCTTTGTATTGTTTAAAAAGCTGATGCTATAGATTATCAGATGGCCTGTTTGTCCAGTTAAGACACAAATAAACAGACAGAGCAGTAAATGTTTGCCTAAAGTACATATTTTTCTGAACTGGGCTCATGAGTGCTTATCTTTCTGCTCTTCGGCTTTCTTATCATCTCACAGTTTAGGAGTCGGCCCTGAAGAAGCCACAGCAACGTTCACAGCAGAATATTATTGAAGGGTCAAAATGAGGTGCATGAGCAACGAATGTGACTCATTAATATTTGTCTATTTTAACCTGAATTAATAAGCATAAACTTTCAATAGGATGAAACTTACAACCAAACACTCTTATTTGCTTTTGCTGGTGTTTTTTAATGACTTTACTGCTTGTGGCAAACTGGTTATTTATATATTTAGCATCTAAATGAAATAGTCTAATGGATTTACCCTTTAAACTGCAGGCGTACTACTCAGTTATTAATCTTAAGACCTTTTATTCATTAACTACTGTGACTTCCTTGAAACTAATATGCAAGTTATTATAAGGACTATATCTTGTGGCCAACTGGTTATTAAAATAGCATCTTAATGGATTAACCCTTTAAATCTAGGCTTATTTTTCACTTAATAAACTGTTATATTTGATATCTTTTTATATAATGTTACTATAAATTGTACTTCTATACTTTATACCCTACACTAGACTTAATTTAACGGGAGTATTAGACCCTGGATTTAAGGGAGTATTAGACCCTTGAAGTCTTACTGCACGCCATTACAATCACATGCAAAATTTTGGGCCTCCAAATATCAAATGACACATTTTTGTTGAGTTTTGTTAAGTGAACACATCCTCCACAGAGAACACATTTCTGCACAGTTTAAGTATAATATATGTAATGTGGCCTGTGCAAAAGTTATGACACATTTTAAATGTATAATATATTATATTGAATTTATTAATATATATATTCAGTAAATAAATTGTGCACTAAACTGTGCACTAAAATAAACAGAAAATTCCATACTTAAGTGTGTTCTCTGTAGAGGATGTGTTAACTTATTTTCGCTAAGGGGAATTTATTTACTTATTTGTCCATAATTCAATCATTGAGAGGTAAACAAAGCCATTCAGTGCAGTTTGATTACATACTGACTCATAATATCTACACTAGCTATAGGCTAACAGCTTTTAGGTATATAGTATATCTATACTATTTACTATCAAATATGACCAGTGAACCTACATGAGCCCTCTGAGTATTGTTACGTGCTGTTAATGATGGTAAAATAGTGGCAAATCTGAAAAATAAGTTTAGGAACTTTAGGAACTATCTGGCCTTACAACTGCTTGAGGGTACCACTCATAAATAAATATTTAAATTAAAAAATAAATAAATAAATAATAAAAAATGCTTTGTTTCCTCTCAAAACTACTCTAAACAGTGTCTCAGGCATCAGACAGCATGATAATAACCCTTTCATGTAATAATCTTCTGTAAAGAAGGTTTTAGAGGGTTAAACTCTTCAGACGTCTGGTTCCCATCATCACCACTGTGAACAATTCTGACTCGGTATGTTTTTCTAGAACCAAGCATTTCACATCAAACCACTCTCAAATCTTTACCATTTGGTGAAATAAAAAACAAAGAAAACAAACAGTGGAATTCCCCTTTAACCCTGTGGATTACAGGAGCATTCTGTCCTATTCAGAGGAACTAACCTGGACACAAATCCCTTCACGGTGAATTTTTCTGCAGCGCTGGAGGACAGAGGAGCGAGCAGGTCTCGTATCCTCACAGACCCGGCGATGCCCACACCTACTACCACGGACCCCAACATGTCACCTGGGGAAAAGAGCACAAGGTCAGGGGGTAAACGGGTGCTTTATTTAACCTTACGCAAGGCTCCATGAAGCCTGCATGAAAAGTGCATGGCTGCAAAACAGTGCTATACAACAACTCTAGGAGCCAACAGTGAACAATCCACTTTGATTAGTATTCTTTAGGAAATGATCAACTACATCACAAAAATGCCAGTTATGATATCACAATTCAGAATTATTTCTAAAAATGCACTAAATACATGATTTTATGATTTATCTGAGGAACTGTTTACACACTCGCGCAATATAGACCATTAAAACTATAGATTATTATTTTTAGACAGGTTTATGTTTAAAATAGCCTTACAATTTTATTTTTGGACAAAAAAAAGAAAGAAAGCTATTTTAACACACTGGGAAAACAAAGCACAAAACATTTAAAAAAACATACATACATTTTACAATATAACATAAAATTTATGGCATATTTAAATTTTATTATTATGTAACATTTTTTTTTCCAATACATTAAACTCAACAAATAAACAGACACAGTGCACTAAACACTAAAATTAGCACAAAAGTGCCATATGTAATCTGTTTCCTGTTGAGGACACTTAGAAAACCATGACCGAGGTTGTTCAAACTTTTGAATACGGCTGTATCACAATATTTCGAATTTCAAAGACTATATTTTAAAAAGTACGATCAAAAACTACGAATTCAATGATGTTTATTAAATGTTGCACACTGCACTTAATCCAGTTAAACAGGACTAATTATGCTCTCTTCTTAAAGAATCATGTAGTCGGTCAGTGTCCTTTACGTACTGACCATATCCACAGAAAAAATGTGCCGTAATTTATTTTATAATAATAATGATAAATATCATCATATTACCCATCCCTAGATGCAACTCATCACTATGTCACAACATTTCAGCATAATTCGCTTTGATTATACAGTAGAATTCTGAATTATTTCTAAAAATTCACTGAAAACATAAGAAACAAACATATAATAACACAACATTTTTCTTTTTAGATTTTTTTAGATGTTTGTAAAAAGACTCAGTTTCACTTCTGGCCAAAAAACCAAGCAAATACTGAAACAAAACTGTAATTAGTTTTAACATTACAAAATTGATGGTATCGAATCGTCACCACCAGACTTTTCCACCCCTAATAGGAGCCTAAAGGAGAAGAAATGTGTTGTATATGGTTCTATATAGAACCTTTTTTTTAATGTTTCTATACACTTAAAAAAGATGGTTCTTCAAATGTTCATTAGTATAGAAAATGATTTTGTATAGAACCCTAAACACTCAAAGAACCCATTGCATGATGAAAGCGTTCCTTGCATCATGCAGTGGTTCTTCAGGTTGATAGAAAATGTACTGTTCACAGTTCTATATGAAACCTTTAAGAAAATAGTTCTATATAGAACCAAAAAGGGTTCTTCTATTGTAACAAGCTTGACATCGTAACAACAGAAGAACCCTTTTTGGTGCAATATAGATGTACGCCATTTTCAAAAAGATTCTACATAGAACCATCCACAGCACATTCTCCATCAATCTGAAGAACCATTTCATGATGCAAAGAACCTTTTAATCATGCAAAGGGTTCTTTGAGTGTTCATGGTTCTATACAGAGCTATTTTCTTTACTAAAGAATATTTAAAGACTTATCATTTTTAAGACTGTATAGCACCAAAAAGGCTTCTGCTATTGTTATGATGTCAACTTGTAACGACAGAAGGACCCTTTTGGTGCTGTGTAGAACCCTATACAACACATTCTCCATCATTCTGAAGAACCATTTCACCATGCAAAGAACAATTTAAGCACGAAACGGAACTCATGGTTCTAAACAGAACCACTCACTTTACTAAAGAACCCTTGAAGAACCATCTCTATTAAGAATGTGGCTGAGTTTACTATAGATTCTTGTTCATTGTAGAGACTCGGGTCTTTACAGTGGTGATGAATGGAACCAGGCGTCACAATGTCTACAACACAAATATAGCCATTTTATTTACTATCCAAAAGCTCCGAATAACCTAGACGTGTCTCCTGAGTTTATATATGTAATGTTGATGATGTTAAAATAGTCCTAAATCTGAAAAGAAAAAGGTTTTCTTTGGGGACTATTTTGCCTTACAAAGCCCTGCATGTATCCCTCCGCTGCGAATAGATTGAAATGAATGGATTCAAGTCTCTAACAATTTAGTGTAATAGATTTCTGTGAGGGAGTTTTTAGAGGTGGACGTCTGGTTCCTATCACCACCACTGTGAACAATTCTGACTCGGCAAGTGTATCTAGAACGAAGCATTTCACACCAAACGACTCCGAATGGCTTTGTTTTCATGTCAACCATTTAATTAGGTACAATTTTTCGCCTTTCACAGTTTTCGCTGTTCTGGTAGTGAGGCTGGTTCACTGTATCGTCTGACTGAAGCGTTCAGCTTCACTGACGGACAGTCTGAGGCTACAGAGGCTGCTTTGTTCAGAAAACACAACAAAAACACGAACATGTGAGGAAATTATACACCGCAGTATTACAGACTGACCCTGTATGGTCTGCATGGTGTCACTTACCACTGAGAGTCTTTCTGCTGTCCACCTAAGAGCGGCTCACTCTCCCATCTGCAGTGATATAACCTAACTCGCAACTTTCATAACTCGCACTGTAGAGGGGGCTGAGCGGGTTGCCAGATTGCACAGTTAACTCCCCGTGAGGTGCTTTTGCATATAAGTGCTTTTACATGTGGGGAAAAATACATTCGGAATGTTTTATAGCCATAATTTGGACTTTCTGTATGCTTAATTGGGCAATATAAAATGCGATTGCCTTTATGAAAGTATTTAATGGTAAATAGTAATATGAAAACATTTCATTTCCCATAAACCACTTTTACGATATTCTATAATTGTTTCTGAAAAAAATGTAGCACTGTTTTACTATTCCTTAAATGTAAATAGAAAATTTAATAGCTTTTTTGGTCAATAAAAGTAAATATTTTCAGTTACAACACCCACTTCTTTTTTTTGTCGGACATGTTTATTATCTAAAACAGTTATTGTGCATGGACTCTTTATAAAAAGATAAAACTTCATTGTAAGTTGGCTTCTTTTACGAATTTTCGGTCCATCTTAAATGGTGGACATACATCTTAAATTACCCGAAATGGCGCAGCAGTAAACGGAGCTGCCGTACCATTTAAGGTGGAACGGAAATTTTTGGAGAGCTTTTTTGGTTAACAAAAAATAAACATTTCTCGTAACATCACCTACTTGTCCGTTGTTGGACATACTTATTATCTGAAACACTTAATGTGCTTGAATGTTTCATTTATAAAAACGATGTGACTTCTTTTTATCGCCTTTTTTCTCATTGTCGGTCCACCTTAAATGGTGCAGCAGCGAATGTAACCGCCGTACCATTTAAGGTGGAACGGAACAATATGAAGAGCCTCCTGTTTAACAGTAAAGCTGGTTGTTGCCAGGAAAACGATCTGACCGTACCAGCTGTGGCGTTGCAAATTTGCCTTCTAAACAGATTATTCTTAACTTATTGTTTTTATTTAGCATTGTTATTTTCCTTACAGTGACTTGTGGCAGTTATATCTACATTCCGGTGCTTTAATGTGTGTTTTTAAGGTGATTGTGAGCGCTTAACCGGCGCTTAAACGGTTAAAGAAGGTTCTCCGGTTCAAAACAAAGATGGCCGCTCCCATGCGGCACAGTGCAGTGTGACGTCTTCAGTCTGAAGTCACGGTCAGTGAAGCCGGGCATCTTCTTCAGAAGACTTTAAAGCGGGTTCGTTTTGGTGCTTTGAAAGTATTTCCACGACGTATCGCTTCATTTTGGGCGTGTGTGTAAATGCCATTTGCAGTGTTTGATAGTGATGTGGACTAAACCTGGCGAGGTCTAACGTTACTGACATTTTCAGAATGGAAAGGTAACCTGGCTCCTTTTTCTCAGTTTTAATCCACTAAATGGCTGGGCTAAGTTAGCTATCGGTCACCAACCATGCTTACAGAGGTCTACCGTCCAGCAGAGTTTAGTACAAACCTTAACTTGCTGGTTCAAGTCTCCTCATAAGACCTTGGTTGCGTCCCAATTCGATCTTGTGCGAGCTTGCGTACTCGCGGACTTCCTCGAGCTGGGACGCGGGAAGGTGTTTTAGGGTGGGGTGCTGAAATGTTAAGCAGCGTATGCGTGACGTGAGCAATGACGACATGCTAAAGTATTAGCCTTTTTTAAATTTATTTACGAATTTACACCAAACAGAGCGTGTCATATAGTGCTATAATGAGGCGATACGTACATCTAACTAACACTACAAACTTTATGCAAATGAGCTGGGTAGGCATTCAGTGGTTGTACAAGGATATACAGTTGTTGATAAAATGTTATTATTCTATGTTAGATTATTTCTTAAAATTAAAAACAATACTAGGCTGCTCTGGGGCTCACAACTGGCCTATAACTCTGCATGTCCCTCTTTGAAATTCAACCTGCTTGTTTTTGTGACGCGCCCGCTCTTTTCAGCTCCCTGTAACGAAAATATGGTGTCCACTTAAAGCTGGATTAGGTGATCAATAAGTGTAAGGTAGTTTATGAAAAAATCCAATACTCGGAATATTTATATTTTTTGGCATAATTTGAAATTACCAGCTGCCCTTTACATTATATCAAAGTTTCATGATGAATGGACCAAGAGAAGTACTTCAGAATTTCTTGGAATCAATTATTTCTCCATTAACTCCTGTAAAGCAGCCTTTTTGTTGATGTTTGCATGTACAAATAAAATACTGAGTCCACTCATTTGACACACGTATTCATGTGATTTGCAGAATCCCTCCTGAGATGGAGTGATTCCTTGGAAGAAGTGCAGGTGAAGTAACTCGGACACATTTCTGTCCTGCTCAGTTGAGCTCAAATGCTCAGTAGCGCTTTATATTCAACAAACATACACTACAAAAGTATGTGGACACCCCTCCTAATTATTGAGTTCAAGTGTTTCAGCCACCCTTATTGCTAACAAGTGTATAAAATCAAGCGCATTCCGTTCAGTTTCCATAGACAAACACTGGCAGTAGAATAGGTTGTACTGAAGAGCTCAGTGACTTTAAAAGTGGCACTGTCATAGAATGTCACCTTTGCTGCAAGTCAGTTCTTGAAATTTCTGCCCTGCTAGATCTGCCCCAGACAACTGTAAGTGGTATTATTGTGAAACAGAAGCATCTAGGAGCAACAGCTCAGCCACAAAGCGGTAGACCACGCAAATACACAGAGCGAGTGGTTCATCAGTGTTGTTGTCATACTGCATCACTCACTACAGAGTCCCAAACTGCATCTGGAAGCAACATCAGCACAAGAACGGTGCATCGGGAGCTTCATGAAATAGGTTTTCATGGTCGAGCAGCTGCACACAAGCCTAAGATCACTATGCACAATGCCACATGTCGGATGGAGGGGTGTGAAGCACACAACCACTGCACTCTGGAGCAGTGGAAACGTACTCTGGAGTGATTAATAATGCTTCACTTGCATCTGGCAGTCTGATGGATGAATCTGGGTTTGGCAGTTGCCAGGAGAACGTGACCTACTGGAATGCACGGAGCCAACAGTAAAGTTTGGTTGAGGAGGGATAATGATCTGGGGCTGTTTGTCAGGGTTTTGGCCCCTTAGTTTCAGTAAAGGGTGATGTTAATGCTACAGCATACAAAGACACTTTAGACAATTATATGCTTTCAACTTTCTGGCAACAGTTTGAGGAAGAGCCTTTCCTGTTCCAGCATGACTGAGCCCCTGTGCAGAAAGCAAGCTCTATAAAGACATGGTTGGATGAGTTTGGTGTGGAGGAACTCCAGTGACCTGCACAGAGCCCTGACCTCAACTGAACCCCACTGAACCCCTTTTTTTTTTAGGATGAATTGGAATGTCGGTTGTGAGCCAGGCCTTCTCATCCAACATCATTGCCTGACCTCACAGATGCTCTTCTGGATGAATAGGCAAAAATTCCCACAAAGACTCCAAGCTCTTGTAGAAGCCTTCCAGAAGAGTGGAGGGCAATTCCTCATTAATTGCCATGGTTTTGGAATGACATGTTCAGCAAGCTCATGGGTGTGATGCTCAGGTGTCCACAAACTTTTGGCCAGATAGTTTACATTTCTCCTGTACTCTTACTCAGACTGTAATGACTGCACCACTGCTTCTCCAGGTTTCCTAAGTGATTCGGAGCTTGAGAGCGTCTTTCAGGATGGGCCGCTCCACCAGCCTTCTGCAGCAGATGACAATATTTGTCACCGTGGTAACCGGCGGAGGCTGCGGCATGATGTACTACCTCATGCAGAGTGAGTGGTCAGAATCAGTGAGCATATAAGAATTCTTTTCCAAAATCAGTCTGTTGATTGGGTGTCTGCATTGCATATGTTTTTAATGTCAGTGCTTCTTAAATTCTACATGTTGTTTCTTCGATTACTGTTACATTCTGTTGCAAAACATGACTTTTAGTTCAGTATTATTTGTTGTTAAAAGATGGTATTGAAAAAGTATAACATGAAATGTTTATTTATATAGCAGTTTTCATTTTAGTTACAATGAAAGCGCTTTACACAGAAATATGAGTAAAACACTGGAGAGATAAAATACCCTGGTCTAAATAAAACGACAGCACAATTACAAGCAATAGGAGAAAATGAGCCCCAGTACTTCTAGACAGACAGTTGTATTCAAAAGTTTGGGTTCGGTCAAATTCCCTGTTTTATTGATTTTTGAAGTAAAAATACATCCTCTACAGTGCATATTTTAGTGCACAATTTATAGTTTATTTAACATATCAGAAAAAATAAAACATAAATTGTGGCCTGTGCAAAGGTTTTGGCATATTTTATGTTTTTTTTATTCAGTAAGTTGGCAAATAAATAGAAATTGTGCCTTAAAATGTGCAGAAAAAAAAACAACAAAACAGTCAACAAAATCATTTGAACAGGAGTGTTCAAATGTTTGCATATGACAGTATGCTTACCTTAACAAAAATATTTTTAATCTGGATTTAAAAACACGTGTCACTGTTTTTAAAAACGACCCACAACCAAGTGAGCAGTAAGAAATCCTAGGAGATTGCAGTAAGCCTGTCTCATCTGAGTGAAGAGGCCGGGCGAGCTACAGTGTTTCAACAGATCAGTTCGTTTTAAATAGTGCCTAAATATCATATTAAAAAGACATTTAAATAGAGGTTTAAACATCTTAAGCCAGACTTAAACAGAACTTTAAAAAAGCCAGTGTGAACTGAATGAGACCAGAGTGAAAAAGGAATATAGTTCAGGAGTCAAAGTCAAGGTATTGGTATCAAAAATGATATTCTGCCCTCAGCTGTTTATCATACAGTGTCAGAAACCACCAAAGCAAGTCTGTTTGAGACTTTCCAGCTTAATGTGATGATATGTTTGCCACTTAACAAGTTAAAAAGTCTTGGCTGAACACCCACATTTTGGGGTAATGGGAAGATCATGTATATTTGCTGTACTGTCCCTCTAATGGTCCATTTCTTCTTGTCAAAAATGCCCCCCCAGAAAACTTTGCTAAATCGGAGTACCATCGTTTGGCTATTGAGCAGCTGAACAGAAACTCCACGGCCATGGCCAGCCTGGGGGCTCCACCACTGAAGATCCATAATATCCACTTGACTGATCGGCACAACCGTGTGGACCACACAAACGCTCAGGTCAGGCTTTTTTGGATGATGATGTTAAGGAATACATTTATGATGCTGAACATATTACTTAACAGTAATGATTAGAGATGCATCAATAACGATACTGGTTTCGGCTGTCGACCCAATACCTCGCTCATTCACCTGTACCCGTAAAAATACACAGATACCAACACCCAGTGTGATGAACGTCTAGTGTACGCTAACAGGCTAATGAACAAATGACTTCAGATGATTTTAGTCCCTTTTTAAACACATGCAGAAGCAATTACAACCACTTCCCCAATAAGAGTGAACGAACTAGGCCAGCTAAACAGAGGCAAAAAGGTCAACATTTGCTACAAAAGTCCATACATACCGATTTTACTCTATTTGACCGAATAGAATTGCAAAGTGAAACTTTACTATAGCGATTTTTTAAAAAATGTCTTTGTTGAATAGTCTGTAGACAGTGTTGTCCTTCCATGTACATCACCACCTGCTCTTAGTTTCAGTGCACAGTGTGATACAAGTTAGCCGAGCTGCTGCAACACAGTTTCTCAGCATGTTTGCTCAGTACTCGGACGCACAGTGTGTTATTTCAAGTGAAGCAGCTTTATTGGTAATTGTCTGTAGACAAGCTGCCTATGGAGGCTGCATTTCACTTAGCATGTCAGTCTGATCGAGCATTTTTGAGAATATAAATCGTAGGCCTTGTCCATATATGATAGTCTATTCAAACAACGGTGTGAGCCGCCCAGTAATGATATTTCTAAAATGATACCGTGTATGTTTGGCTTTAGAGGACATTCAGATACTGCTGAGCCAATCAAAAGACTCCAAGAAGGGCTCCCGAGTGGCGCAACCATCTAAGTGTTGGCCCTATCATCAGGAGATCGTGAGTTTGATCCCTGGTGATGCTACAGCCATCCGTAGCCGGCTGTCCAATGACGTTGCGTGAGCGGCAGCTCGAAAAGAAGCGGTGGTTGGCTTCACAGGTCTCGGAGGAAGCCTGTGTTAGCCTTCACCCTCCTAGCGTTGATAGCATCGTGTGATTGGGGGAGTCCTAACTAGCGGGCAGAATTGGAGACGACTAAATTGGGGAGAAAATCGGGTAAAAATTAAAAAAATAATTAAAAAAAAAAAGACTCCAAGAAGATGTGAAACCCAAAACATAACTGTGCTACACGGGCTGTTGTTGAAAGACACAATGAGGATCAAAACTATGAAACATACAGAAGCACTTTTCTGACATGAAACAAAACCCGCTCTTCTCCCAGGGCCCAGAGCCGACTCTAGTATTTTGGGGGTCCTAGGCAGGATATTATTTGGGTGGCCCCCATCTGCCTTGGCACTACCCCAGACTTACACCATGTAAACGGTTCAAAAATAAAAGCGGAGAGAATAATTTTTCCTCTAAGGCCTCAAGCTGTTGTTTTGAATTATCAGTTATCATGCTTGGTCTCTTTGTTCATTTAACTGAAAAGCTGACTGTCTTTCTTTTACTGTGCTTGATTTGTAGCTGAAAATTCCAGTGACTGGATCCAAGACAGGGGGCTATCTGTACACAACCTCCACCAGAGACACCCTCATGAACAGGTGTGCTCCTTCTTCACCTTCCAAATTTCTTGGTACTTCGTATCATTTAGATACAAACCTCTAAATTCAGGGCTTGAATATACTTGCAAAGACAAGGTTAAAAGTTGAAAGACCTTAAACTATCGGTCAGTAATCAAATGCACCATGAGGTTAATGTAACTAACTAGTAATGAAATCTTATGTTCCACCAGTTAGCATCGGACAAACCGTGCAGTGGTGGTAAAAAACGTGACGCTTGAATTTTGTCTGTCAATTTTATTGGTAGCACTATGTCATACAATGTCAGAAAGCATATAAGCAAGTCTATTAGAGATTACTGAACAACTTGCCGCAGTTAGCCAATGCTAATTGGTGGGGTATATGCTTCCATTAGTTGTTAGATACATTAGCCTTGTGCCTCTAGGTTAAAACTAAAGGAGCAAACTTCAGACACCAAGCTGAGCTTTTTCACTGAACTACTACTTTAAACATGATTATCACCTGGTATCTTATATGTATATGAAATTCAGATAACATCACCCATTTGATAAAGGTAACAGTTTAGAACTATTTGAAAAGACCTGGAAACGTATTACATTCAACAAACACCAGCATATTAACTCAGTTCTTGCCAAACTTGCAAATCCAAGCCTCACACTTTTCAACAAGAATTGTCAGTTTAATTTTCCCATTATAGTAGAACCCTAAATACTAAAAGGTGCAGTGTTTTGTGTTCATATCAGTGTTGTAGCTTTACATAGCTTTGCATTTGTGGCTTGTTCACGGTGAAAAGGATCTTGGACAGTTACTCTTGATCAGAGGATAACCAGTATCATTCTCAAAGACCAAAAAGAAATGCATGAATCCAGTTTACCTTCATTTAACAGTGCAGTGTGTAAGATTTAGTGACATCTAGTGGTGAGTTTGCAGATTGCAACCAACTGAATACTCCTCCCTTTCCATGCATGGAGTAGAACCCATGTGTCAGACGAAAGGCCCGCGGGCCAGATCAGGCCCGCAAAAGTGTTTTCATTTTCTGTTAATATTAGCCCGTTTCACAATGCGCTGCACTACAGTCCCCAGCATGCACTTCAACGTAATGTGCGCTCTGCCTCTAATACCCCAACAATAGTCTATGGGACAGCTGTTACACCTCAATTCTACACAATTCTACACCAGTCATGTCACCAAATGCATTTCAGCTGCAGTTCAACCATTATAAATACTTAATGTTCAGCTCAGCAGCTCAGAAACTGAGCCTAAGTCTTATTGAACTTACAGGAAAGAAAGGATGCCAGGAGTCTAGTTTAAGCATATAGCTAGGTTTAAAAGACCGAGCAGCTGGAGACGTTTACATTGGGAATATTTCAAGTATTACTGTAATATTTTAAGCTCTACTACAAGTGTCTGTATTTTACTGCTGAAGTTGAACAATGGCCGGTTCGGGTTACAGCACAACGTTACTTAAAAATGAAATAAAAACTTTTTTTTTCTCTGGCCCACAGATTTGATGAGATTTTTTAATATGGCCCTTTTACTTGTTGAGTTTGACACCCCTGAAGTGGAACCTATGGTGGCTGTCATATTTCCGTTTCTTTGCTGACAAGGATTCAACCACTCTTGCTTTTTCTTGTGCTAAATAACACATATGATCCTCCATTTGTCAAATGTGGGTTCTCAAACTACTCGCAACACAAAATGGTTGGCTAGCACTGGCAGCAACCACTGATTCTTCTTCTTTCTACGTCCCACAACCGGTGCTATAGCACTACCAAAACTCAAAAGGCGCTCTCCAGAGCCAGTGTTTGGCTTGTCCATTCTGGGCTGTTGTAGAACCATAGCAGTGGAATCATTGTGCAAAATACTCCCTGGTATTTGGGGGGGTCCCATGTTGGCTGGCTACTCTCAGCGTTGGCTGGCTGCTAACTCACTCACCACAGCAGTGTTGATGGTAACTTCACTGGCAACAAAATGTTTAATAATCCTTCTTTTGAAAATGCTCTTTTCTAATTTGGTAATTCACTCCTCAACACATTAACTGAGATCTTCAGTTTGAGAAGTGAGTAACAATTCACTCTTCACACCAAACTCTTGGGTAGTCGGGCAAGAGTTTAGATTTGGAAATACACTATGATGTAGTGTAAAGTTTTTCAGAGGTATCCTGGGCTTAGTTACAGTTTCTAGGCTATGAAGGATCCACTGGGTGGTCCAAGAGGTTAATTAGATGGTTCCGGACCCCCCCCAGCCAGGACCTGTGTATTTCGCACCTTGGGCGCAATATGGCGGCCTCTGATGCAAGAGGACCCACGAAAATGTGCATCCTTTTTTACGTTTTCGTCCGCCTGTGTTCTCTCACTACAGTACCCAGCATGCTTTGTGCAGATACGTCATAGAATAAGTAAGTAAAGAAATCCACTGATGTAGAGGCTAATAAATATAGGCAGGATATTCCTATCTGGCTATCTGGCTTCTTTCTGCATTAGTCAGCTAGCAAAAAATTTAGATAGGCCCCAACTATCCACCCCAAAGTACTTGTAGTTTCTCAAACGTTACTTCCACCTTAACGATACATCATAAGAAAGGAGTTTCCTCGTATTTAAAGCTGAAAATCTCAATGTGGGCACTATTGTAGCACCACTACAGGAGGCGAGTAGGCATGTTTACAGTAGATATCGTGATGAACACATTTTTCACTTAGGCTGTAAAGTCCATTTAACCATCTCATATTGTGCATGCAATTGTCTGGACTAAAGAACATTCAAGAACAAGATGCTTGAAAGCATCATAAATGACAAGAAATGATTATTAGCATTATAGGCTACTTCACTCAGTAATACTAACATTGCTAACAGTGACTGAGAGCAGTTACCACTGAGCAAATGTTAGCATTTTAGCAGGAGTATTTCTTTTTGTCTGTTGGCAGACGCTTATTTCGTCTGACACTGTTTATGGTGCTCTATCGCTGACCCTGATCAGTGCTGTAGCTACCCACATGTAGAGTGTAGGCTTATTTTACAGCCCCCGTTCGTTCCAAAGGTAACTACGTAGCGGCACATGTTCCTTTGAAAATTCTGGTCTTTCTAATTTCCCATGAAATCGTTCGGTTGTGGGGTTCGCCAGAAAACATATTCAGATCAGCAGGAAGCCAGACATAACTCCAAGTTGTTGGTGCCGTTCATGAGGAAATTGCGTGTTTGGAAAGTTGTGCGCTTTCACAGGAATCCTGTATCAGAGACACAAACCAGTAGGCTGGCGCTTCCGGCGCTTCTACCCAAATCAGGGAGGGATGCAGGAAGTGGTGGGTGTGGCCAAAATCCCAGTGATGGAAATTCTATGATAAAACATACGGAAATGCAATACCTGGGCTTTCAACATGCTTTATGTTTGAATTTCTCAGTAAGTTTTCTGTATAAATGTATTTGAAGATAAGGCTACAGAGCCCTGCTGGTGACAGCCCTTCTTAATGAAAATAATGTGGGACCGCAACTTAGTAAGGTATGGGTACAGAATCTTAATGCATGGCCACAACTTAGTAAGGCATGTGAATGAGAGTAGTAAGTTAAAAGCCACAATTTAGAAAGGCATGCAAACGAGATCAGTAAGAGAAAGCCATAGCTTAGTAAGATGTAGAACTATAATTAAGTCTCAGCCACAAATATTAAGGTGTATGAACGAGATAATTAAATATTAAGGTGTATGAATGAGATAATTAAATATTAAGGTATATGAACAAGGTAATTAGGTCTTGGCCACAAATAGTAAAGTGTATGAACGAGATAATTAAATACTAAGGTGTATGAACGAGATAATTAAGCCTCGGCTGCAAATAGTAAGGTGTATGAACGAGATAATTAAATGTTAAGGTGTATGAAGGTGATAATTAAGTCAAGGGCACAGATAGTAAGGTGTATGAACAAGATAATTAAATATTAAGGTGTATGAACAAGATACTTGTAGAGGCCACAAATAGTAAGGTGTATGAACGAGATAATTGAATAGTAAGGTGTATGAACGAGATAATTAAATAGTAAGGTGTATGAGTGAGAGAATTAATTCATGGCCACGACTTAATAAACTGTGGGAATGAGATAATTACGTCTTGGCCACAACTTAGTAAGGCATGCAAATGAGATATTTAAGCCATGACCACAACTTAGTAAGGCATGGAAACAAGATGATTAAGGCAAAGCCATGACATGGTAAACCATGAGAATGAGATAATAAGGTCATGACCACAATACGATGTGAGAACAAGATAATGAAGTCCTCATAATTAAGTTGTGGCTATGACTTAGTAAGGTGTGGTAACAAGATAACTAAGTCACGGTTACAACTTAGTAAGTGATAATTAAGTTGAAGCCGCCACTTTGTCAGGCATGGCAATGAGATATTTAAACCATGGCCACAATTTGGTGAAATTCAGGAATGAGTTAATGAAGTTGTGATAAGTAAGTAATGGCCACGACTTAGTGAAGCATGGGAATGATATAATCAAATCATGGCCCCAACTTGCTAAGGTGTGGAAACGAGATAATTAAGTCATGGCCACAATTTGGTGAGGTGTGGGAATGAGATATTGAAGTTGTGAAAAGTGATGGCCACGAGATAATTAAGTCATGGTCACAAATTATTAAGTCATGGGAACGAGAGGATTAAGTTGTAGCCACAACTTAGTAAAGCATGGGAATGATATAATCAAATCATGGCCACCACTTGTTAAGGTGTGGAAACGAGATTAATGAAGTTGTGATAATTAAGTCATGCCCATTACTTAGTAAGGTGTGAGAGTGAGGCATTCCCAGGCCTTACTAAATCATGGCAACAACTTAATTATCATGTTTAATACCTTACTAAGTCATGGTCATGCATCAAAGATCCGGTTCCCACTCCTTAGTTAGCTGCACCTATGAAGGGATTTCACCAAAAAGACTCCACATCAAGCAGAAACTGGGAATTTAATGGCATTTTAGAAGGGAATTTCCTTGGTGTTTCAAAGCTAACTGAATGCTTTCTCTCAGTGGTGGGAAAGAGAGGTTAAACATGTTTATTTACAGGTGTATGGTGATGTAAACAAACCTCAGAAGATGATTTAGAGGTGGGGCAAAAGCCATTACATTTCGATGGAATTTTACAGGAACTTGAGAATTTTGCAATATGAATAGTGCACCATGATAAATTTCTCAGTATGATCAGGAACATGAACTAACAATGTAAAAGGTTTCAGGTTGACTTTGCTTCCTCTTACTGGAACTTTCTCTGCAGATGGTGTCTCCAGCGAGTGGCTCTACAGCTCAGGACTGGTGAGATCATTGATATTTTCCCTGAAACCGAATCTGAATAGTTTTATGAAGATGGAGACCTTGGGTCTTGTGAGAACTGCATGAGCACACACTGAATCAGCTGCATCACAGTGCCTGTTTTAATGACGAATGCTGACTTTTAAAAGAGTAAAAAGAGTTCAGCTGTGCCATTCAGTGAAAAAAGCAGAGTGGAAGAAAAAGAGAACATGTTTGAAGGACAGTAACAGTTCTTATGCGGTAATGTGTATTAAAATGAAGACGCTCTGACGGAAAAAAAATCCAATAAAAACATCAAGTAACCCTGTGAAAATCTTCATCTGAATACATTCGTTTCATTTGAATCAAGTTAGTAATAAAAAAAAGTGCATGATGTTTGTCAGAAGAGTTCATATTTTTGTGACTGATGTGTTATAAAACAGATTTCATCTTTCTAAATGTTTGCAGTTGCCAAACCAGCACTGATCACCGGAATATAGATCAATAATGTCTAAGGCTAAACAGCGAGATGTAACACTTAAAGGAACATTCATTCATTTAAAATTTTTTATATCATTTGAAAATACCTGCCAGCCTTTACATTGTGTGAGAATTTTGTGATGAATGGACGAATAGAAATGGTCCCAAATTATTGGGAAAAAAAACTTCTTACATTAAATTCCATTATAAGTTAAGATTGTTTTTCTTTTCTCCTGTAAAGTTACTGTTTGAGATAAGAGGTTTTGTTCCATCAGCGACATCATATTCATGTCCATTCACAATCGGATCGTTGCGTAAGTGGCTGTTTGATATTATGTCGCATTCCAACATGGAGCCATTCAGAAACGTTTAGCTAATCAAGATGTACAAAAATCAAATGTAAACTAGATTTTCAGCTTCATAGCTGAGAAAGCAAGTTAACATTCATTAAAGGGTTTTAATCGTGGCATCATTTTTTGATATCAAGAGCAATTTTAACTCGCAATCAACAGATTCATCACCTTGGGGAAGGGGTCCACAGCACGACCCATGTTACAAAATGTTCTTCAGCACGTTGCATGTAGTTACACATTTCCACCAGAGAGGTCTCCAGATCCCCAAAACTTACATAGTGCAGCTTTACCTGGTTATATGAAGATCATTCTTTGACAGTTATGTAAAATACATATCAGACTGCACACATGCAGACCTTACAAGCCACATTTTAGAGTTTCCTCAGCTCCCAACGCATCTGATGCAACAAACAAACTAATAAACAAGCCTTTGCTGAGTTGCTGAAGGTATGTTCTTTTTTTTTGTTGTATTTTTTAAAGGGAAAAATTAAAGATTTTGATTTATCATGAGTTTAATTTTTAAATAAAAATGTTTGTTATTGAAAAAACGTGGTCCCTGTTTTCCATGTCACTACTGAAATACAGAATTTTAGTCCATAGATGGAGCCTTATTTTAACCACACCCCTACATTTTAGAGCAGGAAGTGAGGCTGCATCCCTGTCCCTCATGGCCACATAGTGAGCAGTTAGATTGTCTTGGAGTAATTGTGTCCTAAAGTCTGGAAATCAATCAATCAAGTTGTGTAACATTAAGATTTGTCACTACCGAAACACTTTGTGTGGGTACAGCTGTTCCAAGCTGTGTTTGCCAGTCATGTACTGGCTAGCATCTTTGAGTTCTGCTGAAATGACCTAAAATTGTCACTACTGAAACACATTTTCTGCAATTTTTTGTGTTTTAATGAAAAATATTATGTTTTTATGTGCGTACTGGCTAGCAGTTTTGAGTTCTGCAGTTTCCTAAAATTGTCACTACTGAAACAGTTGGTAAGGTTTCAGCAGTGTTATGATTGGTTTGGTAGTGACAAAATGGAATGTTCAGTCATTTGTTTTAATAAAATAAACATAAGGTATAGGGCCACTCAAAGCAAAGGGATTTTAGTGTAAAGTTTGAGTCACTTAAAAGTCCAAAATATGTTTTGAACTTTGACTTTGAACCAATTTGGTACAATGATCCTAGAACAGCGCTGAGCAAGAACAATTTGAGCTTTTTTGTGAATATGAGTTCAGGACCAGGACAGATAACCACCAATTCAATAGATTGTGATGCTGAATATCCATTAGAGGGAGCTGTTGATGTTTTAATTCAGCGGCTCTGAAAGTCAGCTTTTTTCCTGGAAGTCTACAATATGGCCTAAAATTCAACCACTTCAGCAAGTTAAAGGGGATTTTTATCAACATTTCTGCATAATTAAATCACTCAGGTGTACACAAAGCCATCCAGAGTGGTTTGATGTGAAATGGTTCATTGTAGAGAAAGTTGCTGACTATTTCTAACAGATTTCTTTACAGTGGTGGTGATAGGAACCAGGGGTCACAACATCTACACGACAAATATGACCATTTTATTTACTACCCAAAACCACCGGCGAGCCTACATGTGTCTTCTGAGCTTTTATATGTAATGTTGATGATTGTAAAATAGCAGTAAACCTGAAAAGAAAGGTTTTCTTTGCCTTAATTACCACAGATGGCTCTCAAAACTACCCTAAAACAATGGCTCAGGCATGCTCAGGCATGTCTTCAGACGTTTGGTTCCTATCACCACCACTGTAAACGATCAGGAAGACTGGAAGAGTGCATTTCTCTAGAATGGAGCATTTCGCATCAGATCACGTTAAATGGCTTTACATCCTGACCTTTTGATAATGTGGAAATGTAGAAATTTAAAGCTGATCAATTCCCCTTTAAGCCTTTCAGAATCATTTGAATATTAGAGCCAAAGGGGTTTATATTTTGGAACTGAAATTGGCAGGCACATTTGGAAGCAGTTTCAGTTTCATGAGAACAAATGCAGCATGATATTTTTTTTACCGTGGGCTTCTAGAGAAGCGATAGCTGTTTGTCATATGACTCAGTGTCATGCTTTCCCATTTTGATCTCCTAAAACCACTGGAGGAATAGAGTAATTAATCACCAGAGGCCACAGCTCTCCATCTACAAATGAGGAAACGTTTCAGCTCTGGGATATATTTGATGACACCCCGAAGGCCAAAGTGCATTTCTAATGACAGGGCCTCATTAGTATATTCCATGTATTCTTCCTCCTCTGCTTGGCAGCATGCACTCTTTCTCATTTGCATGCTTTTTATTCATAACTTTTTTTTTCCCCCTGAAAAATATGTGTAGATTATTCGGAGCACATTAACTTTGTCTCATTGTATATCTAAAGGCCAGCTGAAGGCTCATTTGTCATGTGGTATTTGGCTGTCAGTTTCCTTTTACAGGCCAAAGACACCTCGTGACAAACATGCTCTGAATGACACTTAATTATTTCCTCATTTTTCTGTTTGCTCCATTTGACTTCACATCAGATTCACTATGTTGAAATATATTTACTAACACTTGACCGAAGGCCAGCATTTGTCAGGCTACATGACCCCTGCGTAAACCTTTGGCAAATGACATAAACCTACATAAGCATTTACAAAGATGGAACGTACCATAAAGGCTGTCTTTACATCATTTCACCTTAGTTATCGTAACACTTATTGGAAAGAAGACTTTATAAATGTCTATATAGGTTTGTCCGTTGTTATGAAAGGCTTGCGTAAGTATTGTGTTGTCTTGTGAAAGCTACCCTTCAGTAAAGTGTTTAAAAGCCCATGTCCTAATTTTTATTAAGGTGGTGACAAAGCCGACTTGTTCTTCTTTATTTTAATATTCTAGACTATTTTTGTACCATTTTACGAGGCACGGTTTTTAAGTTAGAACCACAAAACTTTGCAGGATCGAACAGAAAATTCTTGAGAAAATTCAAGAGGATGCTTTAACTGCCTGTCAGAAACAGTACATACAGAGTCACATACGTATTAGCGCATATATACACACATAATAGCAACCACCTGGGAATCCATAGCAATGCCCAGGCAACACCTTGGCAACGATCTAGGATAACACAGCAACAGCCTGGCAACACCTTAGCAACCACCTGGGATACCATAGCACTGGCCTTGCAACACCTTAGTAACCACGTGGGATACCATAGCAGTGGCCTAGCAACACCTTGGCAACCACCTGGGAAACCATAGCAATGGCCTAGTAACACCTTAGTAACCACCTGTGATTGCATAGCAATGGCCTAGCAACATCTTAGCAACCACCTAGGATACCATAGCAAAAGCTAGGCAACACTTTAGCAAACCACCCGGAATAACATTGCAATAGCCAGGCAGCACCTTAAACAATGGCCTAGCAGCCACCTGGCCTTGGCAAACATCTGGGATTACACAGTAATAGCTTAGCAACACCTTAGCAGCCACCTGGGACTTCATAGCAATGGCCTTGCAACATCTTAGCACCCACCTGGGATACCATAGCAACTTATATTTCGACACTTTAGCCTTCTAGTTGTGTTTATTTTACCGCTGAGATCCAGTTTACATTTGTCTGATTATTTGTCCCGAAATGCTCATTAATAATTTTTACATGACCATTTTCCAAACTTCTCTTTATTTATTAGAATCAAACAGGCTGTTTTTGTTACTCTGCTCTTAAATACTGCTATATGTAAATAAGTTCTATTCTGATTGGCCCTGAATTGTGTCTGTATTCATAAAGCTGAAACACTCATTAGAACTGGTGTGAATGGGCAGATACATGTAAGGTGGAATATATATATGTGTAGATGGATATGTGTGAATGTATTGCTTTTCGAGTCATCACAGAAACAATGAATTCTAAATGGGCGGGGTTTGCAGCTTAGTTTCAATATACATATGTACATGGTACATTTTGAAACCTTGACACCGTTTACATATTACTTCAAACGCCTTTCATTATAAACAAAAGGAAGGAAATTTGGGTTTCCATTAAATGGGCCCTTTAAAGTGTAAACATTCCACAACATGCTTTACATATTTTCACTGAATTTGAAGGCAAAGCGGAGACTGAAAATAGTAGCAAGTGAGATTTTAATAAAGGTATGAAAATACAGTTTAAAAAAAATTTATGCAAACCTGTTGCAGTCTAAAATACAATAGTGTTCTTCATATGCAGACATTCATATTCATATGAGACATGTATTCATATAAGAAACAGGCACATAGAGAAAAAAAATCAGTATTATTGGTAATTTGTTCTTATAAAATATCAAAAGGCATCTTTATACATTTAATGAACTTTTCCATTTAGAAACAGTTGCAATTCACCAAAATTGAAATAGCAGTTGGTCACCACTGATGGTAAAAATGAGGTCTAGATGAAGATAAAACCAAGTTTTGACCAGTCCAGAACACAGTCACAGAACATGTTATGTATTTCAGTAGTACCTTGGGAGCATCATAAATGCTTAATAAACCTTATTTAAAAGTTTTTGGTTACTGTCTGCTTCATTGATTTCTGCTTCCTCACTGAACCTCATGAGTGTTCTAGCCACCCACATGAGTTTGAGTTTTACAGCCTCCATTCATTCCAAAGGCATCTCCTCAGTGGTTCATATTTCTTTGAAAGTTCATGCTAGTTTCTCATGAAACGGGCAAAGTGCAGGATTCGTCATCAAGCTCGTCAGGATCAGCCAGCAGCCACGCACGACTCAGAGCTGCGGGTGCCATTCACGAGGAGTTGTTTGTGTGGTTCTCGGGAATCTTAGCGTATCAGAAGTATTGTGAAATACAAATGAGCGGTAACGTTTCCGGTGCTCGATTTTTCCCCACAAGTGCTTGCCAAGAACCGGGACGCAGGAAATGCAAAACTGCTTAAGTGCAACAAAACATAGATTTTTCATTATATTTACATTTTAAAACCCACATTATCACTTTGGACAATATTAAAGAGGAATTCCACCAAACTCACAGCATCATTCAGTTGTTTTAAGGTTGAAATTTGCAAGATTTTCACCGACACATCATAGAGAAACTTACAGACTTAGACTTCTTTACAGCGGTGGTGATAGGAACAATGTCTACAACACATTTTACTTACTATCCAAACCACCAATGTACCTATGGGTGTCTTCTAAAATTTATGGAAACTATGGCACTATATGGATTTCAATTAGATGACAAATATTAGCTATATATGGATTCCCTTATATCCAACTGATATTAGTCATATATATATATATATATATACACACACTATGTCTTGTTCCTATCACTACCACTGTGAACACCCATATGGAAATATATGGCAATATATGAATTTTAAGTACATGACATATATTAGCTAAATATGGATTCTTTTATATCCAACTGATATTAGTTAATATATGTATACATATATGTTACATGTATGCCAACTTTGGCCATTCTCAGCCATATATCACCATATATAAACATATATATGGCGTATAATGATGTCTGACAGAAAACATTATTCATATATGGATGGCATATATTGCTCATATATGCTAGCTAGATTTATATGTATCTTCTTTGTTTCTTTATATATGTATATATAGCTCTAAGTTTTGATATTTACATATATGTACACAAGAAAAAATATATGCCCTGACACTTTTAGATATATATGCATATATGGCCATATATCAGATTTCCATATGGGCAATGCTGACTTGATAAGTTTCTCTAGAGCAGAAGAAAAGAACATAAAAAAACCAGTGGAATTCCCCTTAAAGGTAGCTTAGCAGCAAAAAAAAAATCAAAATTTTTTCAAGAGCCCAGTTCAACCACAAATAAGAACTTGCTGTGGTTCCCAACCACAGACAGTAGTGCGAGCCTCTAGCAAGGCCTACAACAGAGCCTCCAGAGAGATGATCTGGCAGAGCATTTATGATCAGCAGTGTGCTACATCCTCACAGATGCTTACCAGCAGTGCGCTACATTCTCACAAATGCTTACCAGCAGTATGCTACATCCTCACAAATGCTTACCAGCAGTGTGCTACATTCTCACAAATGCTTACCAGCAGTATGCTACATGCTAGCTGTGTCACTGCTGAGACAAAACTGAACTTCTCTGCTTCCTCAGGCAGCCACAACTCAGCTCAGCTGTGGTTAGCACTGTGGCTTTAGGGGTCTCTACAGTCCCTCAGGAGCCCTCAGGACGTGGTAAAAGTCCGACTGAAGAAAGCGAGGGTAGGTGCTAATCTCCATCAGGTAGAAGATTCTCTTCTGAGCTTCTTCAAAACAGTTCTTGCTTGGCCGCTGAAGGCGCTGGCTGAGGCGTTCTTTGATGTAGAAGTCCAAGTTGATCTGTGGAAAGAGAAGTTTTTGGCTTCAGGCATCGAAACTAAGAGGATGTTTTTTTTTTTAGCTATCAATCTGCAGGATTCGTGATGTGTACTTGTCTTAGTAGTGAGCTTGATATCTCTATTTATTTTCACTTAGAAAGCATGTAATTTGATTACAGGTGCCTGCAAGCATCATCCAGCTCAGTGTGCTAAACTGGGTCTGGTCCATAGCAGATGAGAAGGCCTATAATGTAGTGCAGTATTTTCTATTGTGTACATTTTTGGACTAATCATAGATTATAATAACTGTATGAAAGGAATGGTTAAATAAAAACAAAGCAATAAAAATCACACGGCACGGTAGAGTGAACAAAAGAATAATAATTTGCATAATTTTGACACTAATATAACCCCCAAGCAAACTAATATAAGTCCCAAGCTTATTATTAAGGCTTATTATTCAGGGACTTCAATGCAAACTGGCCAAGCTATTCTTAGGCTATAGATGTGTGTAATAAAACTTTGGGCCCACTGGTGGACACTGACCATTCAAGGGGTTAAGCTATATTCAATATTCATTAACACAAATTATTACTATTATTATTATTATTATTATTATTGTTACTTACCTTGGGCCAATACTTTATGGAAGTGTGTAATAAATCTTTGGGCCCACTGGTGCACCCTGGCCATTTAAGAGGTTAAGCTATATTTGATAATTGTCAACACTAATTATTGGCCCAAGTTTACTTGCCTTGGGCCAATGTTTTTGCTTTTATATCACATCACTATGCACATTACAAATCATTTGCAGTCTCAACGACCATAGCAAAACACAGCCTGCTGTTTTCGGATGTTCTTGGACAAGCTCAATAAGAAATGAACATGCCTATGATTCATCATATGATTCACCTCTTTCGGGGAGTCTTTTCTGATGAACTCCTCATAGATATTATTCGCTTTGATGGCCAGCTTTTCTGATGTCTTGGTCTTCCTGAAGTCCTCACAGGCCAGCCAGAACTCAATATTCTCCTCACAGTACTCTGACTTCGAGAACATCTTGAACGCCACCAGTCCACCTGATGTGGGACAGGGACAGAAAATGGTAAGCTCTATGCACTGTGCTAGTGTTTTCACCCCAGTTTCTTTCAAGCAGTACCCACAGATTTTTTGGACATTTCTGCATAATTCAATCGTTGAGATGTAAGCAAAGTCGCTCAGAGTGGTTTGATATGATATAGTTCACCGTAGAGAACTTTCACTTCAGATTCCTTTACACTGGTGGTGAATGGAACCAGGCGTCACAATGTCCACAACACCAGTGTAGCCATTTTATTCACTATCCATGAACATGAAAAATTGGATTTAGGCCAAAACCTTTGTTTACATCTTAACTATTTAATTATGCAAGTTTTAAAGGAACAGTTAAAATTCCCCCTTGAGTGGTGCACAAACATAAGGCCACATATTTAATGTAACATCAACTTACTCTGGTGGGCGAGAAGTTTCTCCAGGGACTGACCCCACTGCTCAAACTCAACTTGAGTTGGTCTGAATTAGGAAACAAAAAAGAGTTCTTTAGTAATGGGAGTGGTTCTACCTAGACCCATGAGTTCTATAGTGAACCATTTCACACTTAAATTGTTCTTTAAATGGTGAAATTGTTCTTCAGATTGATGAAAAATGTGTTGTACAGGTTTCTATGTGTAACCTTTTTGAAAATGGTTCTATATAGAACCAAAAAGGCTTCTGCCATTGTTACAAGCTTGACATCATAACAACAGCAGAACCCTTTTTGACGATTTATACACACTCAAAAAAAGATGGTTTTTCAAGGGTTTTTTTTAGTAAAGGCAGTGGTTCTACTTAGACCCTTGAGGTCTGTATAGAACCATTTCACACTTAAATGATTCTTTGCATTCTGGTTGAATGGTTCTTCAGACTGATGGAGAATGTGTTATATTTGGTTCTGTATAGCACCAAAAAGGGTTCTGCTATTGTTACAAGCTTGACATAACAAGAGCAGAACCCTATTTTGTACTATATACCCACTTGAAAAAGATGGTTCTTCACAGGTTCTTGACAAGTAGACATAGGTTCTACTTAGACCCATGAGTTCTATGTAGGACCATTTCAGGCTGTTCTATGCATGGTGAAGTGGTTCTTCAGATTGATGAAAAAAATTCCTATATAGAACCGTACACAACACATTCTTCATCAATCTGAAGAACCGTTTCACCTTGCAGAGAACCGTTTAGAACATATTAAACCCTACCTTTTACTAAAGAACCCTTAAAGAACCATCTTTTTTTACTAGTGTAGCTAGTGAGAGGAGGATACTGTACCTGGCTGATTTTTTTCTTGATTTTACAACTATGTACTTTTTCAGAAGCAGATAAAGTCTGGATTGGGATGTTCTCTGCTTTTGCCTGTATAAAAAGGGAAACGTTTTTTCTTTAGGTTCACCAGTGAAAACAAAAAAAAACTGTTCATCATGAAAGTATAACGCACTACCTGAATGACTAAACCGACTGAAAGACAGATAAAGTTCTCGCTTACGTGACCATGTCTGGGTGATGTTGTCGTCCTCCGGCTCTTTCCAGGCGTGCTGCGGTGACCTCCATTACAGACGTTCAGGTGTCACTACGTCAACAAGATACCATCTCACTTTGGTCAAAAACCTCAGACTTTCTCTCTCTCACTTCTCCCACCTCACTGAGCTGAGCTGAGCTCTTCACTCACTTTATCAGTCAGTTCCATTCAGCAGTGATCAAGCCTACGCTCCACTCCCTAAAAAGGCCCCGCCCTCCACCGTGAGAGCTCAGAAGACTAACCAAGGGCCTGTTCTAAAAACACTGTTGTAAAAGCACTGGCTACTGCAAATCCACCAATTCACTGTATTTGTATTACATAATACTTTTAGAACACCAAGTTTTATTACACCCTTCAATTACATAAGAATAGCCCATCCAGTTTGCATTGAAGTCCCTGTAGTTACTGAATAATAAGCCTTAGGATCTAACTTCTATCTAGCTTTGCGTTTTAAGGGGTTAGACCACTCTGTACACTCTAGTAAGAAGTGCAAACCTACCTTTTCCAGTACTTAGCACACTTAAAACCATCTATATGCTGCTACATTGGCTAGTACATACTGGTGAGAACACAGGCTAGTGCAAACCTACCAGCCTATCAGTACTTAATACAGTTAAAACCCTTATAGATTCTGCTAGCCCAGATATAAATCTGACATATGGTAATACACACAAATATATGACATACATTAGCATATCGCTGCTGTCGGAACAAAACCTCATATGTCCAAAATGGTAACTTTACAGGAGGAGAAAAAAACCTACTTTACTTTTTAATGTAAGTCAATTGAACCAGACTTTTTTCCCCAAGTCATTTTGGGGTGTTTCTTTTGGTCCATTCATCATAAAATTTACACACAATGTAAAGGTCAACCGGTATTTTCATGCATGTTAAAACCTTTCTCAAAGCAGCCACATGTGGATTTCCCTTATATCCAACTTATATTAGTTACGACATATAAGTAAAGTATGTAAAGGCAGACGTTCTACTTAGACCCATGAGTTCTATACAGAACCACTTTAAATAGCTTTTGGCATGGTGACATTGTTCTTCAGATTAATGCAGAATGTGTTGTGGAGGGTTCTATATATAACCCTTCTGAATATGGTTCTATATAGCACCAAAAAGGGTTCTACTATTGTTACATGCTTGACATCAGCGATATATACACCTAAAGAAGAAGGTTCTTTAAGGGTACTTTTCTAACGGGAATGTTCTATTTATATAGAACCATTTCATGCTTAAATGGTTCTTTGCATTCCAAAATGGTTCTTCAGATTGATGAAGAATCTGTTATATATGGTTCTATATAGCACCTAAAAGGGTTCTGCTGTTGTTACAAGCTTGATATTGTTACAACAGCTGAACCCTTTTTGGTGCTATATACACAATGGAAAAATAGAAGGTTCTTTAAGGGTTCTTAAGTACAGGGAATGGTTTTATTTAGAACCATAAGTACTTTGTAGAACCATTTGCATGCTTGAATTGTTCTTTCCACGGTGAAATGGTTCTTCAGATTGGCCGTTTTCAAAAATGGGATGTATATTTCAGCCATATATCAACATATACAAGAAAACATTATTCATATATGAATGGCATATTTCTCATATATGTTTCATGTGAATATAATATGTTTTTATGTAGAAGGTTTTTTATGCCTCTTCTTGGTTGCTATAAAACTCTAAAAACTAAGCTATACAACAAAATCATTCAAACATGAAGTAAATGAAAAATGCAATATATAACAGACATATATGTAAAATCCATATATTATGCATGTATGCATGTATTTGATACTTACAAATATGCATGCAGCAGATACATATATATAGAATGCCTCATATAGATCCTCATATGACCATGTACAGGGTGTACATTCTAGTACATTCTAGTAAGAACACAGGCTAATGCAAACCTACCAGTCAACCAGCCCTGCCAGACAAAAAAACAGCATAGACCAGCATTTCTGGTCAACAGCAAAACCAATATATGTTGTGTTTGCGATGTTGGTATGCTGGTCAACCACCAGACCAGCTTAGACTAGCATGAACCAGCAAAGACCAGCCTTATCACGTCATTGCAACAACAATGCAGATATGAATAAACATGGTTGTCAACACTGTTTTTCCTTTGGCCTATTTATTTGACGGACGTGGCTAGGTCAGCTTGTTGTTGGTCAGCTTGTTGGCCTTTAGCTAGTTCATATAATGTGAAGAATCTAAACCTGACCAGGGAGCTACCCATACGCCTGGAGAATTGACGTTTATTTCATGCGCATAGGTACCAGACATTTAGCCAACCTGTAAAACAATAGACTGAGGCCAAGATTAGGACATGACAAGTGACAGGTGCGACAGACATGAACATTTAGGGATAAACATAAATAGGAAGAACAGAATTATTTAAATGCAATCACAGTACAGGCACACATAATACTGTATATACTGACATATAACACAGCACTAAACACATTACAGAGCTATAGATTCCTTCAAATGAAGTGTGAACGGTTTACTAGGAATGCAAGTCTCTGAAAATACGTCATTTTTTTTTATCTAATTGGATGGGTTCTGCTGAAAAACACACATTCCAGCTAATCAGAGAGGTTGGGCACATGTGAACATCAGAAGTATGTTGTTGTAATCGGAGTTAAACTTTGCTGGAGGGTAGGGTTGGGCACTTCTCATGTATCCAGATTGTCGTCAGGCCGCTGTGAGTCTCTCCAGCTTTCATAGATGTTGCATAGGCTGCAGAATAAACAAAGTTATGTATAGTTTTATTTGGATTCTATACTTTATAGTAGAATCCTGCTTGTGCACATCTACAGCTCTAATAAAGTGAAACAGCTGGCTCTATTCCTGTCCTCTCAAAGACCTTGAATAACTGGGTCTAATCTGATGAGACACATTTTGCGTCTTTCTTCCAGAACTATCTCACTGCATCTTCGTCATGTCATCTGATGGTTTGCAGAGCAGTAAGAATGCTGTAAAATTAGAACGGCAATGCATGAATAAACATGGGCGCCATAAACAGGTCTGGGAACTGAAAGAGAAAGTGTTGAAAAAAAAACAGGTGTGTCTGAATTTCCATCTTTAACCACGACAAGATAGCATTTCGATTAAGACTGCGATTGGACGGGGTGGCGAGGGGGGCTATACAAACCCACATGTGGGTTTAATCAGATATTTTGTGCAACTGCTTTTGTCACTGTGAGTGATCCACCACCGCTGGAGACAATGCAGTAATGTTTTCTGTTGGTCAGTGATGACAGTAGTGTCATCAAGATAAGTAGGTTGCGCAATCATCTGTGTGCGTAAGACGTTCAGTCTATTGAATCAGATTGGCACCAAATCCTGATCACTAAAATAGAAGCACTCTTTTGTCAGTCACCTTAAAAACTTCCTGCATTCTTTAGTTCATATCTGCCGTTTGACAGAGTAATAACAAATCTTAAATCTTTCCTAGAAGTCTTTAGAATGCTGCCGTCACCTTAAAGGAATAATTCGGCTGAAGTTTGGCTTACTCATTTTTTCCCCTTCCTACCCCAAATGTTCAATCAGCCAAGATGTGTTTGGTGTCTGAGAAGAGCAGGCATTTGACCCACCACTTTTCAAAGTATTGGGGCGACGCCGCACCTCTTTTTGGTTGAGTTCAGGCCGCTTATTTAAAACAAAAAAAAAACTCACTTACGTACAAGCAGAGCCAGTTTAAAAGGAGCCTGGCCACTTCGTATTTCTCCCATTATATCAAAAACATGACTGCAAAATGTTCGAAGACCTCAGGAAATGGAGGCGAATGGAGCTAAAGGCTAAAGACAAAGAATTGAAAATGTTTCTAGCCATATCTTCTGGAACGTCCGTCAATTTCGGAACGTAGATGGATGTATTCCTTTAAAAAAACCCAAAGAAAACTTACGAGCATCTTTCCTTCTTCTCTACAGCAAACTGGTTTTTGGCAGTAGGACGTTAGCATTACTGCTACTGAGTGCTAACTGTTTGTGAGCTGATTGGCTTGTTGGCTCAGTGAAGTGGTTTGAAATCATTGACATCATGAATATACATAAGAGACAAACCTGGATGACAATATTGAAAGATTCTCTGGTACAGGCATGAAGAGACAGTCCAGCTCTGTGGAAGAAACAGTTAAAATCTCCATTTCAGGGCCAGGGCAGTTCATGAAGTCGGTGACTGTTTTAAAAGTGATACACAAACTTATGCACGCAGTCATATTGTGTGTTACCACACTGTGTGAAATTTACATAGTCATTTGCAATATTTCCTACTGCTACATTGCTTAGCTAGGATTTGTTCTTCAGAGATGTGAGCTAGCAAAGTTAGCTCAACAGGGTCAAAACAACACTGACCGTGTTCCTGAAAATGCTCATTTGGACGTTAAGGATTATAGCTATGACACAGGCTATATGCAGTGCTACATACATTTGTCGTTTATTGACTTTTCTCAGTCAGCTCCTCAGGCTAAATGGCTAATGTCGCTAACAAGTCAAGTTATGCCTCTAGAATTAGCATTAAACACCCCTGAATCATCTCACAGTTGCCTCAAACAGTGTTGAATCCATGGATAATCTCAAATGGACTTACCTGTGTCCTTTCTGGCACTGTGAAAATGTTCATTTGGAGGTTATAAATTATAGCCATGACACAGGCTATATGTAGTGCTGAATACCGTTGTCTTTTGTTGACTTTTGTTATTCAGCTCCTGAAGCCACAAGGCTAATGTAGCTAAAAAGTAAGATTATACCTTAAGAATTAGCATCAAACATGCCTAAAGCTGTGTTGAACCCTTAAATAATCTCAAATATACTTTCTTATGCGCTTTCTGACACTGAAAATTTCATTTAGACGTTAGGGATTATAGCTATGACACAGGCTATATGTAGTGCTGTAGACGTGCGTCTTTTGTTGACTTTTGTCAAACAGCTCCTGAGGCTACAAGGCTAATGTAGCTAACAAGTCAAATTATACCTCAAGAATTAGCATCAAACATACCTGAATCTTCTCACAGTTTCCTCAAACTGTGTTAAATCCTGACGTAATCTCAAATAGACTTTCTTATGTGCTTTTTTTGTGAAAATGTTCATTTGGACATTGTATAGTATAGCCATAACGCAGGCTATATGCAGTGCTGAAGACATTTGTCTTTTGTTGACTTTTCTCAGTCAGCTCCTCAAGCAAAATGACTAATGTGGCTAACAAGTCATGTTATACCTCAAGAATTAGCATCTAACACATCTGAATCATCTCACTGTTGCTTCAAACTGTGTTGAATCTCAAAGTAACCTCAAATAGACTTTCTTATGCGCTTTCTGACTCTGTGAAAATGTTCAGTTGGACAATATATGTCATAGCCATGACACCGCCCATATGTAGTGCTGAAGACAATTGTCTTTTGTTGACTTTTGTCTTTTAGCAACTGAAGCTACAAGGCTAATGTAGCTAAGTAAAATAATACCTCAAGAATTAGCAACAAACACGCCTGAATCATCTCACAGTTGCCTCAAACTGTTGAATCCTTAAGTAACCTCAAATGTACTTATTTATGTGTTTTCTGACAATGTGAACATGTTCATTTGGACATTATGTATTATAGCTATGACACGGGTTATATGTAATACCGTTGACTTTTGTCAGTCAGCTCAAGCTGACTAATGTAGCTGACAAGTCAAATTATACCTCAAGAATTAGCATCAAACATGCCTGAATCATTTCACAGTTGCCTTGAACTGTGTAGAAATCCTTAAGTAATCTCAAATATACTTACTTATGTGCCTTCTGACATTTTGTGAAAATGTTTATTTGGACAATATATATCATAGCCATGACACAGGCTATATGTAGTGCTGAATACATTTGTTTACAGCTCCTGAAGCTACATGGCTAATGTAGCTAATAACTCAAATTATTATAGAAATAGCATAAAACATGCCTGAATCATCTCACAGTTGCATCTCAGATAGACTTATGTGCTTTCTGACACTGTGTGACACTCTATTAATGGACTAAAGTGTGATCACAAAGCTACAAACAGTACTAGGAGCCATTTTGAAGCCTGATTTTTGTCAGCACTTTTGGCCTATTTAATTTTTGGACATTACAGAATCCAGCCTCAGAAAGTTTTTGCTTGTTTGCGACTTGTTAGTATTATAAAAGTCATCACCTCAGTTTGCAGTCACCTGACTGAAATGGTGACATGGTAACGAAGGCCTTGTTTTCAAAAACAGGGAAGTGGTGACAAAAAGTCAATTGTCATAACTGTGATGTGGTCTCAAACTTTCAGTTGAGCAGTTGAGAAAACTGTAGGGGATGTCCAAAGTTGTCCAGGCAAGCATTTTGTTTCGCGCATCATCAATGCAAAAAGCAAATGATCTTCATATGAAAAATGCTCGGTACAGACCAAAGAAATCCCCAAATGCTTGATTACAAAAAGTCCACATAAGTGAAAAGATTTGTTTTAAGGTTTGGATTTATTCAGTATCTCATAATATAAGCCACAGGCAGGTAGAAACATGCATAGAAAAAGTATTTCCACCAGTGAAATACTCAAACAAGTGTCTGTAATGGAGCCATAATTTAAAACAATAAGAACAGAAACAGTTAAATATTTACAAACAGTCAGACAGTTACAATCTCCAGAAAAGATTTCTTAGGTAGATTGAATGAAGCTGACTACAAATTTTAAGCTACACTGAGATTTATAAGCTGTATTGCTCGCATAAATCTCACTGTGTACAAACGTTTACCTGCGAGGACAATTCCTTTCACATAGAAAATGTTTTCTGTCGATCATGGCTCTGTATATGAGGGGTTTTGGTTGAATAGTGGACAAATAGTCTTGTAAAGAAGCAAACAGTTAGTCAGACGGACTGATGGTTCTTGGATCTAGTCCAATGTCCATGAATCTTCTGGGGGCAACATGACCTGGGACCCCCTCATTGAATCCTGTTAGAGTGGGCCATCACTTTTGCCATCCCATCACAAACCGCTAAAGCATTGCTCGCTATAAACATCATCTGCTTATTTTGCTATTTAGATCAGGCCTTATCAGTGGAAGTCGTACGCAGAGATTACTGTGAGGATTTCCCCCTCTTCAGAAAAAGTACCAGCTACCTCAGGGACCCCACATTTTGGTTGAGGTGACTCAGCTACAGGGGAAGCTCAATTTCCTTTGTGAGCGTATTCCTCAGCCACTTGCGTAGTGTAGAAGTACAGCAAGGCAACAGGCATAGGTAGCTGAAGGCAGTCGTGCCACTGTCCAGGTTCTGCACGTCCATAACAATCCAGGCCTTGGCCTTGTCAACCAACAGTACTCCTCAATGTCCTTGTCCAGCTCTTCCTTAGAGAGGAGTCAAGAAGTTTTCCAGGTTTTTGCTCAATGAGCCAGGTCCTCACACCTTGATCATATCCGAGACTGATTCCAGAAGTGTTCTGTAGAGGTCGGAGCGGAGGAACCTGGGGTATGAGTCTTTCTCCATCAGGCCAAACACGATTCTCTGGGCCTCGTCGAAGCACCACCTGGTGGGGGCCTGGACATTTTGCTTGATGACTTCCCTGGTTTTATGGTCGATGTTGATCTGTGGGACATTAAAAAAAAACATGTGTGAAACATCTTCCAGGTAATTCACTTTTTATAAATGACCTTCACCAGTGGTTCCCAAGCCTGGTCCTGGTCCCTGCTTGCTTTTCCCTGCTCTAAAAAACGTCTACTCTGGAAAGGCTTGTTGATTAGCTAAATAGTTGGATCAGGTGTGGTAAAATAGAGGAAATGCAAAACAGTGTCCAGGACAGGGCTACTTCAGGAACAGGACTGGAAAGCACTTGTTACTTTCCAAGTGCTAGATAGAGTTCACCAGCCTCGGTTCAAAATGGGCTTATAGCTCTACCTAATGTACCCAAATGATCCCAGACCCTGCATAGATTATCTTCCATACCTAAGGCCTGGTGACTTCAATAAACTGTTGCTTGGTAAACATGAAAGAAGTGGTTGAACATTCTTACCTCTTTGGGTGCTTCAGCCTGGATGTAGCGTTCGAATATCTTCTTGGCCCTGGAGCCCAGCCGAGAAGTGGACTTGATTTTCTTGTACTCCTCACAGATCAGCCAGAATTCAATGTTCTCGTCACTGAACTCAGATTTGAGGAAGGCCTGGAAAGTTGCCATACCATCTGTAGGAGGCAAGAGAGGCAAACATCAGTCCATATTCTGTTGTTTCAAGAGTACCTTTACAAACTTTACTTTTGGGAATATCTATCATTAGTAGACTAGCTGGCTTCTTGCATTGGATATTGCTGAAAGAAACTTATGTATATTGCACAGGTAACATTTGCATAGATATATATAGACATATTTGTCTCCCTGCAGCATATGCGCCCTGCAATTGGCAATTCTACTTTACATATCTGCCCATCACTGCTGCAGAGTGACGCCCTTGTCCAGGATACAGGCTAGCATTATATTCCAGAAACTAGCGAGCTGTATGCTGTACTGTACTTACTTTTAGATTTCAGAAGAGTTTCCAGTGACTGCGACCAGAGGAGGGTTTCACTAGGTTTGAATCTGTTTGAGGAGAAGGATTTGAAGATCAGTCGTAGTTTTATGAGCCACCTTAACCATAAGCAACATTCACATTTCTCATTTTTTGTAAATTGACACTAGGTACCAAATGGGGTGGGCAACACGGCAAAAATATTATATTATGATTATAATATTTATTTATAGTTTTTTTCTGAGATTTAATTAATTGGAACAGACAAAATAGAACTTGTATTGCCACGTATATAAAAAATACATAATAATGAAAAAACCTACAACTACTATGATTTTATTCAGTGTTTCACATACTGCACTGCACTAAATCCAGTTAAACAGGCCTAATTATGCCCACTTTGTAATAAAACATGCAGTTAGTAAGTGTTCTTTAAACATAGACGGTGTCCATGATATGCTCAGAAAAGCTCGTTGTGACATAACTTATTATAATAATGATAAAGTATCATTAAATTGCCCACTCCTAATACCAGAACCAAAAAAGAAGAAAACATAAAACAAATATGAAACTCACTTGTCTGTCATTGGGGTTTTCGCAAACTTGCAGTGAAACCGCCACTTAAGGTCTTTTCTCCTGTGGTGGGAATGAAAGTATGTTTTAGCGCCATAAGCACATGTAGAGTTTTAGTTCTATGAACCAAAGTACATTTCTGTAACAGACAAAAAGGGAAAAAGACAAAGAACAGAAAATAAAAAAAGACAAAAAATAAGTCAAAAACCAACTCACTGAGTCTGTGGTGGACTCTCCTCCTTGCTCATGTTGTCCAGCTCATTGGCACCTGGCAGTAAGCTTGGCATGTTGATGTGTTCTTTGCAGTCAGGCTAGCTCTTGTCTTGTGTGTAGCTTCTGTTGGTTACCACAGGTTTTGAAACCGGGCTTCTACGTAGCAGCTTTTATTATAAGCAGTCAACTGACGGTTGGAGAAGCGTCATCAAACTCACATAACCGCAAAGAGGAAGTTTGGGGTGACGCTAGTTAGCTGGATAAGACTGTTGTCTTACTGTGCTCTCTCTCTCTCTCTCTCTCTCTCTCTCTCCCTTGCCGTGGTGGACAGGGACGCATGTGAAGATGCAAATCTAGCAGTGGAAAGTTCGGTGACCGATAAGCAAATGCTGACTTTTACCTCAGAACCTTTTAATGAGCTCTTTGTCCCTGTTAGCAAAACACAGCAGCAGCAATGCTACCTTTTGTAAGGCCAAAACGGTCACGTTGTGCATGTTTAACAGGACTTTGAATGAACAATACTGGTGCATCTGTAAGCATTATAACTACCATAAAGCCACCTTTAGGCATATTTAGGGATATGTTAGCGCTGTGCTGTTGAGCACAACTGCAGATGCTCAGTGCTTATGCTAGCTTCTTTAGGAAGGTGTTCCATTCACTGCTTTAAGCTAGCATGACCATTTTTAGCCTGCTCTTAGAAACTGGTAGTCACAGAACATGTTCTATGCTAATTCGGATTCATAGCACTCATCTTCATTCAACATAGTGAGTAGCATTCAGTGAGGCGTGTGCACTCACTGAGACGTTTTGCAAATACGACACGAAGAATGAGGCGCCTTGAGTTCAAGGGGATTTCCGCCGATTGTACAAAAAAAATTCTGCATAATTCAGTGGTTGAGATGTAAACAAAGTCAGGCAGGGTGGTTTCATGTGAAATGGCTCATTATAAAGAAACCTACCATCTACGATTTCTTAGGAGTGGTGGTGATAGGAACCAGGGGTTTTGATGTCTACAATGCTAGAAAAAGAACAGCATAGTCTAGCATGGCTGGATACCAATAAAACCAGCATATGTTATGTTTTGAACTGCTTGTATGCTGGCCAGCAGCAATGGAAGTTAATATGCTGGTCACCATGAAAAACAGCATATGTTCTGTTTTGGATGCGGTATGCTGGTCCACCAGCACAAACCAGTTTTAGGCCACAGTTTTATTTTGAAACTATTGTAAAACAATGTCTCAGATATCGGGCTGCATATTCATAATCATTTCATGTAATAACCTTCTGTGAGGGAGCTTTTAGAGGCAGACGTCTGGTTCCTATCACCACCACTGTGAATGATTCTGACTATAAGTTTCTCTAGAATGAAGCATTTCACACCAAACCACTCTGAATGACTTTGTCTACATCTTAACCTTTTAGTATTTAGAGTTTGGAAAAATCTTTTCCTCTTGAAGTTGGTTGAATCGAGTGTAGCTGGCCTAATATATTTAACAAAGACTATTCTATTCATCTATTTTTGTACTCTCATTTGTGTTTCTCGCTAGTAAGCAAGATTAGGTATCCATTTTGCATCAGACTGTGGCCTTTGAGAAAAAGTCAATGCCCCCAGGGCATCCAAAGCTTATCCTGTTTATATTTAGGGATTCAAAACTGTAGTATGGGAGGTCAATGGCACTGCATAGTTTAGCATAGTTTAGGACAGTTTAATGCAACTAATAATATATTTATCTTTGTTAGACCAAAATAGTTTTGGTCAGGAACGTCTAGAAATAGGTTTTCATGAGAGTACAGAGCTCCAAACTGCCTCTGGAAGCAACATCAGCACAAGAACTGTGCACCAGGAGCTTCATGAAATGAGTTTCAATGACTGAGCAGATGAACACAAGCCCAAAATCACTATGCGCAATGCCAAGCGTCGACTGGAGTGGTGTAAAGCACACCACCACTGGACTCTGGAGCAGTGGAAACGTGTTAGCTGGAGTGATGAATCATGCTTCGCTATCTGGCAGACTGATGGATGAATCTGGGTTTGGTGGATGTCAGGAGAATGCTACGTACTGGAATTCATAGTAGCAACAGTAAAGTTTGGTGGAGGAGGGATAATGAGCTGGGGCTGTTTTTCCCCTTAGTTCCAGTGAAGGGTAATTTTAAGTCTACAGCATACAAAAATTGTTCCCCTGTGCACAAATGAGGTCCATAAAGACATGGTTTGTTGAGTTTACTGTGGAGGAACTCCAGTGGCCTGCACAGAGCCCTGACCTCAAACCCACTGAACACCTTTGGGATGAATTGGAATGTCAATTGCATGCCAGGCCTTCTCACTTAACATCAGTGCCTGACCTCACAAAAGCTCTTTTGATTAGAAGGCCACAAATTCCCACAGATACACTCCAAAATCTTGTGAAAAGGGGTACATACGATTAGTCATATAGTGTATGCTAGCTACTGTAAAATCCTAGCATGCCAAAGCTAACCACTATTTCTCCTCATGACTATTGTATCTAGCACAGCTTTAGAGACATTATGTCAGATGAAAACATCCACTCTATTCACCACAAGCCAACCACAACTGAGCCAGGGGCCATTCAGTGGAGTTGCAGGGGTTTTTACTTGTGCAAACAATGTGATTTTAAGGGAGAGTGAAGAGGTCAAGTTTCTCTACACGGGAAGGAGGAATGTTTGTGTCCCGAGGGATGTCACCAGACAGCATTAGAAAGCCCCATTCAGTTCCACTTCTCTTTTTTGTTATTCTCACAACCTGTTTGATATTTCAGACGTACCTGTTTTAGCGAGTATCCTCATTTCTCACTATCCAGGTTAGAGCAATAATTGAACAGGCAAATATGAAATATCTTGGTTATTTATGCAAATGTGACTGCATGAAAAGTTACAGTGTTAAAATGACATGTGATGTTGATATCCTTGTAAAACACAAACAGACCGTGCAGCCAGCTTCAGATTCTTTATATTCAGTGACTAAAGGACATTTTCAACTTCCTAAACAACTTCGTTAATCAGATCAGCCAAACGGTCCAAAAGCTTATGGTCATATGCAAAAGTTTGGGTACTCTTGGTCAGATTACACGTTTTGTCGAAGTACAGAGAACACGGTTCTGTATATGAAACATAAAACGTGACTTGTGCAAAGGTCATGGCGCACTTTTTAATATCTTCAACAAATTGTGCTCTAAAATGTGCAGAAAAATTAAGAATGTATGTTTGTTTATACTTAGAAAATCAACAAAGCATGCATGTTCAGACTTCTGCATATGACTGTATATGCAACAAAGGCCTTTGTCTATTTTGGAGCACATACAAAGCTGGGGATATACAAGGAGATGAAGCCGTGGAAGGGGAGTCTTAGGGAACAGCATAAAAGCACCTTAAAACTCATTTTCCAAGAATGCTTCATTGTGGCCATTCACGAAAAGGAAGGCATACCTTTCATACAAGGCACATGATATTATTAGTCACAGGTTCATTGTCTTTAAGGTTGAAATAGTGGAACTGAAATATTTCATTTTCTATATTTAGGACACCAAAAAGGGATCATATCCCCCTTTCCTGCTAATTTAGAATAGTCTGGAGGGTCATATACTATTTGGCCAGAAGTAAATGTGAGGTGTTTCAGACATACCCATTGCTAATAGGTGTATAAAATGTATCTCCATATACAAAGTTTGGCACACATCAGTTTGTCTGACCTGCTAGATCTGCCCCAGTCAACCGTAAGTGCTATTATTATGAATTGGAAGCTTCTAGAAGCAGCAACAGCTCAGCCACGAAGTGGTTAACCACACAAACTGACAGAGTAGGGCTGCTGAAGAATGTAGCACATAAAAATGGTCTATCCTGTGTTGCTTCACTCACTTAAAGAGCTCCAAACTGCCTCTGGAAGCAACATCAACATAAGAACTGTACATTAGGGAAGTGGGTTTTCATGGCAGAGCAGCTGCACACAAACCTAAGATCACTATGTGCAATGCCAAGTGTCGGCTGGTGTGGTGTAAAGCACAGCACCACTGGACTCTGGATAGTTAGTTCTTTATGTATTTATTCATTACATTCTACGATTTCTGGTTTTCTCAGTTGATTATTATAAACAATAATGGCTTGCACTAACAGCACAATTCCAAACAGCCACAACACTGACCATCACACCTATATGAGCTTGTTGGACATCTCATTCCAAAACCATAGCCATTTATATTGAGATGGTCCCCCTTTGTGGCTATAACAGCCTCCACTCTTCTGGAAGGCTTTCCACAAGATTTTGGGGTGTATCTTTGGCAATTTGTGCCCATTCAGTCAAAAGAGCATTTGTGAGGTCAGGCACTGATGTTGGACAAAAAGGCCTGGCTTGCAGTTGACATTCCAGTTCATCCCAAAGGTGCTCTGTGGGGTTGAGGTCAGGGCTCTGTGCAGGCCACTGGAGTTCCTCCACACGAAATGTATCAAATGTCTTTATAGAGCTCACTTGCACAGCGGGCATATCATGCTCCCCAATCTGTTGCCAAAAAGTTGGAAACATATTGTCTAAAATGTCTTCGTATGCTGTAGAATTAACGTCACCCTTTACTGGAACTGAGAGGCCCAAACTATGAAAAACAGCCCCAGACCCATTATGCCACCTCAACCAAACTTCACTGTTGACACTAGGCATTCCAGTAGGTAGTGTTCTCCTGGCGTCCACCAAATCCAGATTTGTCCATCAGACTGACACATAGTGAAACGTGAATTATCACTCTAGAAAACATGTTTGCACTTCTCCAGAGTCCAGCGGTGGCCTGCTTTACACCACTCCAGCCAACGCTTGGCATTGCAGATAGTGATCTTAGGCTTGTGTGCAGCTGCTTGGCCTTGAAAACCAATGTCATGAAGCTCCTAACTCACAGTTCTTGTGCTGATGTTGCTTCCAGAGGCAGTTTAGATCTCTGTAGTCAATGATGCAACAGAAAATTGGCCATTTTTACATGCCACCCACTTCAGCACTCTGCAGCCTTGCTCTGAGTTTGTGTGGTCTACCACTTTGTGGCTCAGCTATTGTTGCTCCTAGTTGTTTCCATTTCATAAAAATAGCATTTACAGTTGACCGGGACGGATCTAGCATGGCAGAAATTGCTGCAACAGAATA